GGACAACAGCAGGACAACTGCAAGCACCAGGAGGACAAGAGGAGGACAGCAGAGGACAACTGCAAGACAACTGCAAGCACCAGGAGGACAAGAGGAGGACTGCAGAGGACAACTGCAAGACAACTGCAAGCACCAGGAGGACAAGAGGACAACAGCAGGACAACTGCAAGCACCAGGAGGACAAGAGGAGGACAGCAACAGGACAACTGCAAGACAACTGCAAGCACCAGAGGACAAGAGGAGGACTGCAGAGGACAACAGCAGGACAACTGCAAGCACCAGGAGGACAAGAGGAGGACAGCAGAGGACAACTGCAAGACAACTGCAAGCTCCAGGAGGACAAGAGGAGGACAGCAGAGGACAACAGCAGGACAACTGCAAGCACCAGGAGGACAAGAGGAGGACAGCAGAGGACAACAGCAGGACAACTGCAAGCACCAGGACGACTAGAGGAGGACAAGACCCGGACACTGCGTTCAGCGGCGCGGCCAGCCACTGTGGCCAGCTCGTTTTTCCCTAAGAGAACCCCAACAGTAAACTGTTTGGGGTAAAAGTTTAACTTCCAGAGTGTTCATCACACAAATTAACGTCCTACAGTAAGTTTCTAGATGAAACTTTGGACTGCCAGCTCTGCTAGAGAGTGCTCATTCTTTCGTGTAGATAGAATTGTCAAGCAAGCCGGGTTGCTCAAGACTTTCAACTTTCCTTTAGCTTGGCTTTGGGCCACAGAGGAGGTCGGCCGGTTCTGTCGAAGGCGTTCGCTTAAGCTCTGGTGGTAGTGGTGTAGCATCGCCTTCATCGATTTCACCCGGTGGGGCCAATGGTCTGTCGAAGCATTGAGGATGGATGTGGCAGTGATTCGAGACATCAGCTCATCTCCAGTCGCTTGGTGCCAAGCCAAAACCTCTCGATCCAACACGAGATCGTCGCCAGCGCTTGGGAAATCTCTCAGCTCCTGCATCAAATCCGGCAAGAGGAGTGTCTCATTCGTTTCCACCAAGTCGGATGGGTTGAGCTTGGTGCCAATGGCCCACAGCAAGTATTTGCTCTGAGATTGGAGCAATGTTTCGATGTTGTTCATCAGCACGTCATGCGACTCTTGTAAGCTGTTCAACACCGCAGTTGTCCCGGAGCGCACAGCATCATCAATGCAAAACAGGTCACACATCACTTTGGAGAGTCCAAACTGCAAGGGAAGACAGTCTTTCCAAGAAGCATCAGCCAATGTCTGCAGGTCCGTCCCGAAGACCCCGGACATTTTCGGAACAGTCCTTGGGTCTTATAATTCTTATAGTGGCAAGGAGTCAAGCCATGTACTGGAAACATCCTCCCAAAAACATCTTCGAAGTGGCACAACAGTGAGCAAAAAACATCTGACTGCACCTGTTTCGTATCACATGGCTGTTTCGTATCCCGAGCCAGGCTTCTGCTCCACGACTTCTTGGCTCATGTTCTTCAGAGCTGCAGCGCTTGGAGGTTTCAGTGGCTGAAGTTTGGACAATGCACTGTCGATCCCAATGCCCGCTTTGGCAACTTTGAAGGTATCCTGTGAGAATAAGGTGTTCCAAGGGTCCTGTCCTAAGTCACGATTTCCGCGCGCGCCAAATCGACGCGGCACGATGGCGAAACATCCAGCGATGTCAGAGGCAATGTCAGAGGGCTCAGGGGTGGAGCCCGGAGGGCTCTTCGTTTTAAATTGCAACAGCGGGGTTTCTCAAGAAAGCACCAAAGGCACAAACCAATGTAGAATGCATTTTCAACAACAGAACCACAGCAGCATGCACAAAAAGCAACTCGAATGCGAGAACATCGTTGAATCTCTAGGAGACATGTTCATTCAAAGCCCGGTCAGCAACGCGAAGAACTTTTCCTGGAACTCAAACCTATCGACTTGCATACAATCCTATCGACTTGCATAGTTGTGAATCTGCGATTTCTTGATCATGATGAGGTGTGTGCAACATATGGCTCGACGACCAGGGGTGCCCGTTCGTGCGCGCGTGGAGATCGTTTTTTCGAGTGGACCATGGTCGTGACCACAATTTGAAAATCTTGGCGTGGGGCATTCTTTGTTTTCATTGTGGAAGGCAGTTCAAAGCTTTCAAAAACACAACACGGCCTACACGGCGACAAGACTATGTTCCTACACGGCTAAGCTGGGCGCTGAAAGAACGAAGACCTGTGGACCAACTTGTGGGCCCATGAGTTTGTGTTTGGATTCTGCCAACACCTCTGATTGGAGTTCTGGCAAAATGGTATGTTGCCAGCACGTCATTGCAAAAACAGAAGACAAGGACTCCTGGAATCTAGGGTAATGAGCAAGTCTTCACGAAGAAATTGTCTGGAAAGAATGGCGTCGGAGTCCGAGAGTTGAATTCATTAAGCGCAAGCGCTTCTAAAGGCGGAAGCTTCCCCCGCCTGCGTCCAGCTACTAGTAGCTACCTAGCAGGTAGTAGCTACCTCTCCCTTACTCAATTAAGTAGGGAGGAGGGAGAGCGAGTTTTTAAAATGAATTGTAATAATAAAGAGAAAAGAAAAGAAATAAGTGCCACGCTAGTAGTAACAGGTGCCTTACTAGTAGTAACAAGAAGCTAGTAGTAACATCCGTCTTGATCCTTTTGGATCCTTTTGGTCAAGGACTGTCTCTGGGCGTGGATGACCTTGACTGCACACAGGGGCGCTTGCTGTCCCACTGTCGGACATCTCAGAAGGGCGAGTTCAACTTGCCACGGCAAGCGAAGCATGGCAGGCCATTGCGTTTCATCAAGCCCGATCTGTGACACGTGTAGACCTGGTGGTCAGGCTGCATGAGGGTTGTTCCCTGCCTTCAGGCGATTGCGTCTAGTTTTGTGCAAATCTTGGACAACAACTTTGCAGGAGTCGCAGTGACTATTGACGGGAGACTTCCTTGAAACAGCGGCCAGGTACTGCTACAAGAGGAAAAAGAGAGCACTGCTCCTCGAAGGAACACAGTGGGACAAGAGAAGGTATGCGCAAAACTACCTTGGTGGGCAAAGGTTAACATGTTGAGGCTAGGCTGTGAGTAAGCACATAATCCGATTGGTGTGTAGTCGCGAGACTTAATTGGTTTGGGAACTTTGGGAACCAAAACCTAGTCACAAAGGATTACATGTTTTGCCTATTGAAGGTGCATCAGCAAATTGAGCATAATTATTGGTGGGAGAGAATCCACATACTGTCACAAGCACTGTACAAACAAGCGTCCAATATTTCGCGCTGTGCCACTGATGAAATTTTTAGCCGCACTGCCCGCTGCACGGCCCACGGCAGAAATGCCCCTACCCACAGCAGCAAAGCCTCTCCCGATAGGGGCAAATGCGCTCTTTAGCGCATCCTCAGAACATGGCCGCATCGCCAAAGAAACAATTTCAGCAGCTGGAAGCTTCCAGCAAAGGTGCCAAGCAAGACCCAAAATGTTGTTAAGGACAAGTATCCTTCAATATTTGTTTGATGCTGAAGATGTCCTCAAACCCCTCAAAGTTCCAGCCCTGCGGAGAGTGCGGACAACCACTTGGATGTTTGGTGGGCAGGATGCCTTCATTCATATATTCGTTTGCCAAACAACTCCCCACCCTTTTGGAGAAATCAACGAGGATATAACAAGAAGCTGGTAGTAACAAGTGCCACGCTAGTAGTAACAGGTGCCTTACTAGTAGTAACAAGAAGCTAGTAGTAACCTGGGTTCTTAGGTTTCCAAACACGGTTTGAAACATCGTCCGCTGCGCGGAAGCTGATCCGGCACTCCCCCCCGGCTCCGTCCTCACGAAAGGCTCCGCTGATCTCCCGCTCAACTTCTTGCTCTACGACTTCTTCCTCTTCCCTTCACAGGGTTCAATAGCCTCAAACCCTCTGGGCGTTCTTCAGAACACCTCTCTTGCTGAAGACATACACCAGTTTCACGTAAATACAAATCAAGACTAAAGTGATGTGAGTGATGTGTCTTTTGTTCAAAAAGGCTGTCATTTGCAGGCTTTCTTTCTTGCTGGAGCTTTAGCAAACAATGGTTTCACTCACAGATTTCGGCGAACCGTTCACCGGTTTCTGCGGACTCGATGGCAACAAATGTTTTTGGCTATGGGGTCATGGCAACCCAAAGCGCCAGATTTCATCCCCACACTGTGTGGGTACCCACAGAAGATGTTGAACGATCCCATGAAACATTTAATGTCATTTGCAAAACCTTCACGTGCCTTCTGTTTTGGTTATCATGGCAATCTAAAAACTAGTGTCTGGGTGCCCACAGCAGAAGATGTTGAATGATCCCAGGAAACATGTATTCATATCAGCTGATTCATTTTGGACTTTGCCATTTACCTACCAAACAAGACTCCCCAATGTCGGCCTTCCGATTTCCTGCTGGGTTTCCTCTGCGCCCTTCGAACCAGGCTGTGCGTAGCTGCCCCAAGGGATCATCCCCACAAGCGCGGCAGCCAGCTCAACACCCAACGTGATCATTCCGAACCTCGAGAACTGGGAAGTGATTGAAAGAGCAGGTGAACGCCCCACATGACTCAAAGGCCCATGGTGTTGACAAATCAGAATCCCACTAAGCGCTGGATCCAAACCCAGGCATCATTGACGTCTAGACATTGAAATTTTGGCGTGTCAACCTGCAACCTGCAGCGTAGGCACTCATTTTTTTTGTCAGAGATCATCTTCTGCATCTTTTGATTGTGTGCCACGGTCGCACCACTCAAAAAATCGCGCGTTTTGCTCCGCTGGCTGCATTGCCAGAAGGCCTGGCTGTGCAACGTGTGTGTGTGTGTGGCACTTGCCCCGATGTGTGAATGCCATGTGTAACAACCCTGATACCATTCAAAATGCGAATGGTCATTGAAGTTCTCAAACGACGAGCCAAAAATTCAGGTTAGACACAAGAACACACAACTGGAAAACTTATATAAGTACATGTTTTGAAATAGGGGCAGTCATCTTACCTTTTCTCAAGGCATTTCGTAAGGTCACTATTTGCCCTTGTTGTTCAATGGTTCAATGTTCAGTTACCGAGATAACGGGAATGATATTCCAGAATACTGTGTCAATTTCTATCGTGTTACCTCTCAACGGTGGTTTTGGAGACATAAGAACATGACAAAGAAGAGATATGTAAATATCACCCAAGAGACAAAGAACCCTTGCAATGCAAAAACAAGTGGACACCCACTGAAGATCAAAGAAGTAAGATCGAAGAAGATCCGGAAACTAAGTGCTTACACACGCGCGCTCAACGTCTTGACTTTTCAACCATCCAACCATGCTGAGAAAGCCGTGCACTCCAGGCAGGAAACGATCTTCATCTTGAGAAGAGGGAGACACCGAAGGTAGGACAGCGGGAAGATGTAAAACATGCATTGTCAGCTACTCGGAGTAGGAGATGATAGGGGTAAGACATGGTAAGACTAGGAACCCCTTTGTAGCATATTTTTCAGGTCGCAGAGATCCTCTTGGTTGGCGCAAAACGGTGGTTGGTGTAAACCGCGCAGGGGCGTAGAGGGTGGTTGGTGTAAAACATGGTCTGAGGTGTGTGTGACACCGTACACGCCTGCTCAGCAGGAAAAAGTGCTCACAATCGTTTCAGTTTCTTCTCCTTCTGCTTCTTCTTCTTCTTCTTCGACAACTGAGCGTTTCTCGTTTCGCATGTCTGCGTTTGCTTCGAGAATCCACCGAACACCCTTTCGCTTAGCAATAGAAGTCCTAAAGCAAAAGCGAGAACGCGCATAAACAGGCTCAGGCATTCGAAGTGCAATTAGCTCTATTGGCAACTTGAGCGTGACCATTGTGGTATTGACGCCAACCAGCTTTATGCTCAACAGCATCAAGGAAATTTTGGAGATCCTGATCGATCACAGGATTCCACTTTGAATCCTCGACCTTAAGTTCCTTACGCGTCACCGTCTTCACGGACCTGCGCTGATGGCACGCAGAAAACAGGCGTTCTTCACAGAGAAAAGACCTGCGGCGCGCCAGACACATAGAAGGATAGAGGTTCTGAATCCGCCGTCTTCTCTTCTGACCAGGATCATCTGGAGGAGGTCTCTGGTTACTCCTTACCTCTGGCATATCTTCTAGGATAGCCAACAATGTTAGTCCGGAGGTGGACTTGGTCCTGAGGAGGCTGTCCTGGGTTGACATCCCGCGCATTACCAGGAAGCACTGGCATGTCTTCATCGTTCCCCCGAGACCGGAATAGGCTATCAGTCCAAATCATCATCAACCTCTGGTCCATAGTCAGGAGGTTCGTCAACATCTTCATCCAATCGTTCATCAGGAGTCACAAGACGCTTCACAGCGCCTGTCGATTCCGTCTCATAAGCGGGCATACTCCCATGTTCGCTAGAAAACTGTTCATGGTGACTTGAAAGTTGTGACACAAACATGAAGAATCAGAGAACCTGATGATACTTCCCTGGCTTCCCCAAAATCAACACAGCATCATCTTCAGAGTTTAAGATTGGGCGCGCCTTGCTCAACGTACCACGGTAAACCTTACAACGCTCAAACATCATCTGAGGTAAGCTTCTTCGTCTGGTTTCCTGCAGACCTGGAACCAAAGACACAATACGAGAATCAGGGGAAGTCAACACATCATGCTCTGATCTCATTGGTCAAGCCCCTATCTGTCGCAAGGCCCTAACCAATTCAGGCAAGATGCACCGAAGTGGAACAGGAATGTCCGTCGTCTCATCTTTACCTACTGAGTTCAAAAGAACTCGAGCAGATCTATCTACAAGCAAAGCAGTAGCGCACAGACTTCCGGAATCATGATCATCTTGACGCTCATAGGAAGCTTCACTGTAAGGGAGAAAACGGTTGAACTCGATCAAAAGAGAGAAAGGAAACTTCTTCCAGTCAGGATCCTTAAACTGCTCATTGCTTCTGGTTGCCTTTACAGACTTGGCTTGAAAGGAACAGCCTTTCCATCTCTGGCAAGATGCATGGGAATGGTAGACGGTCAAATAGCTGGTAACAAAAGAACTCATACTCACATCAAAAGAAAAGACCTGATCCTTCAACTACCCAGAAATGAAATCATTCAAAGAAAACGCGTTTCCTTTGGGAACCGTCACAAAGACATGGTTCTTCCTTTGCCATTGCCACGCAATCGCGTTACAACACGACAACCAGATAGCTCCTCAATTCTGTTTAGGAGAAGGGTTGTTGATCACAACGCAGTTGGGTTGCAGTTGTTCAAGCTGCTGCCAAACAACATCTTTGCCTTTCCGCATCCTGCCTTGAAATCGGTAGGATGAGCAACCTTCACACCATTCTTAGAAAGGAACCAAGATAAACCGCTTTTTCCACGCAACAGTTCAACAACATCAGGGTTGTTCTCGTTGCAAAACCAGAAGGACTGGTCTCCAAACTCAGCATCGACAAAAAGTTCATGATCTTCACGCAAGTTCTCAGGATTCTCATCGTGTAACGCTGGAATGGAAACATTGCGCCATTCATCATGGTCCCTTCGAACCTTGGACTGGTTCACTCTGACAGCTGCCTTGCCAGTATGAGCTTGAACCGTTGAACCTTCTTGTCCAAGTATCCTGGCACGGACCCACCTACCTTTATCCTTAAACTTCGATGAGTCTTGAGTCCAGATAAACACCTTCTCTCCTTGACGGTAAGGACCATCACTTGGCATTATCCTTCGCGCAAGATCAGCTCAAAGATCTTGAGCTTGTCTTGCTTCTTGATGAGCTCGGAGCGCTACACGCTGTAGTTCCAAGTTCGTTCGATCTTCTTCAGCCGCTTGTGCTGAGAGCTGCTGAGGGGTTGCGGTCTCTAGATCAAAAAGGTCTGGTGGACGTCTACCAGTTGCAATCTCGATTGGAGAATGTCCACTGATAAGATACTCAACTGACAGTTACGTGCCCAGACTACCTTCTTGACCACTTCTCTGACCGTAACACCACGAAGACCAGGGTCATCAAGATCTTGTTTCATAACATGCGACATTCGTTTGAACAAACGAACAGCAGTATTAGGCCAGGGGCTCTTGGTCCACAAAGACACTGTTGAATATACAATGAAACCTGTCGTATTTCACAAAACAAAAACATCAGTGACAAACACTTCATCTCCTACGATGGCCTTTGGAACACAAGTGCCCTCATCCGGCCATTGTCTCAGAGCTGGCTTTTGTGGCGTTTGCATCAACATGCTTTCTGATACCCATGCGAACACTGGCGCTTCATCTCCTTTGGCTAATTTACAAACCATGTTGAAGACTCCATTCCTACAGGGTCAGGCAAAGATGAACTTCTGCTCTCTTTCATAAGCATCGGCTACTGCTTCAGCAGTCTTGGGTGATGTCACATGAACGCTGACTGGAGGAGTCCTATGTCCATCCCATCACTAGATCCGTCGTCCTTCCTCTTTCTCCTCGAACGTCGGCCCTGGGACGCGTCGCTCGAAGACGAGGATGAAGAAGAAGAAGAAGAAGCAGGTTGAGGCGACGGCGGGTTTGGTCTTGGTCCTGTGGCGCCACGGTTGGCACTCTCCCCAGACACGAGCTTTTTCTTTGTCTTTGACCGGACATTTCAGCGTAGAACTCACCGAAGATTCCTCTTATGAAATCATCTGCCTCTGGCAAACCTAGCAAAACAGCCGTGCCCTTTGCGCTAGAACTGGCGTCTATCTCAGACCCTTTAAAACGAAACGCACCTCCGCCGGCATTGCTGCTGGTGCCTAGACGCTGCACAGGGCCTGCTGGAGGCTTCGAATGCCCAGCGCGCGCTGCAATCGGCAACATGACTGGACTGAACCCATGCTATTGCAGCGCGTTGGATCCAGATTGCCTTCTCAAAGTCTTCCTGCAGTTTGGCAAAAACCGTTTGCTGGTGACTCATGGATTTCTCATGATCTCGTTGAGGGGGTGAACCATTGAAGCTTGTTCCATCCAAAAGGCTTTGGCTTTTTGTAGCTTGGCTTGATGGGCATTGACTGAGTGCTTCGGCCTAGAAGCTGACTGACTGACTGCCTGACTGACTCTTGTAAGAGGCAAAATTTTGGCACTTCCAAAACAAGTGATATTTTAGACCCGCAGAACTGACAAGACTTCCGGACTTGACCAGAAGGGCGAGGATTGCAATGACCCCTCCACACGTGACAGTCAGCCAACTTTGTAGCCAAGCAGTAAAGAGTATCAAGAGAGGACTCGAACAGTCAGACAATGGCAATATTGCAAGCGTTCGTTCCTGATTTGGGAGTCATGACAGTCGCTCGGGAGCCATTGTTCCAACCGGGTGTGTCTCCAAGAGTTCGTGAGAGTATGAGACCATCGATGTCGCACTGGCCTGGGATCACGGATTAAGAAGAGAAGCATCACGAGCCTGCCACTGTCCCCAACCAATACCGTCCGAATGCCCCAACCAAACAACCCCGATACTGCCAATTTGGCGGCTCAGAAAACTAGTCCGAACATCACCCCCAAAACCCAACATCGGAATAAACTCCTGAGCGTCGAGCAAAGGAAGGGTCAGCCCCAGGCGTTGATAAATTCCAAAGACCAGCCCGTTGAGCCACCCAGGTCGCCGTCGAGATCTCATCATTGGAGAAACCGTGTTCCTGAATAAAAACCAGGTCTGCTTTCTGCGCTCCAACCTCTTCCAAGAGATTGGCGGAGCGTCGTTTCTTCCAACTACGGAGGTTGACTGACCAAACCTGAAGGGGGACCGAACGAAGCGATCGAGATTTTTCCTTCTGACAAGGTCCAGGTTGGAGGCCCCGCCCGGAGGAACCCTCCCCCGTAACCCTCACCAGGTCGCAGAGGAATCAGGTTTCGCAAACAAGAAAGTAGGTCGCTGAAAGGAAGGTATATGGGACCGTTTCGACTTGCACCGACTTGCACCCCAGCCGCAGAGGACTGCAGGCAAGAAACCGTGACGTTGCGTCCACGCCTCGAACCCAGCAGCGGAAAGCTTCGGAGACACTCGACGCACGGCACCTTCGAAGACACGAGGACTGAAAAGATGCGACAACAGACATGTCGACGACCGACAAAGCGACAGCAATGAACATGCCGAAGTCGTGCCTGAGATCCAAGTTCAAGGAAGCTCATCCAAAAGGTCCAGGAGTAAACCAAACGTCCCGCGCAGCGAGGAAGCAGCAGAAAAACAAGCAGAAGCCCGCGTCCACAGGCTCAGGAAAAACAACCCCCGGCCCGTAGAGAGCTGCAGACGAGAGAAGCACCACACACCGACCTCAGACCCTGCGTCAGGACTGCACAGAAAAGGACACCGTAGCCAAAAACAACAAAGCGCAGTTCCAAGCCGCTTTCCCGTGGAGAAGCAGGAGACTATTCCACGGCAATTGTTGACACAAGACTGTAGAGGTGGATCCAGCCATCAACGAAGCCCCAAGAGACGGCGACAATCACAAAATGGTGATAGCGCGCAGGTCGATGGGCGCAAGAGACATCATCAGAACGAATTACCAGGGGAAGACCCCCGCACCCCACGCAGGAGACTTCGAAAACACAAATCTAAGAAGCCGAGGCCCACTGCAGCGCACCTGTACGCAACAGCCGCACAGCTCAAGCGCGCAAGGCAGCACAGTGTCAAGCAGCGCAGGCGCGCAAGGCAGCACAAACGGCGTGCGATCCACACTTTCGCCCCGATCGCCCGGAGCTGGGACTGAGTCTATACTCAAACCCTTGAGCCAAAATGGCTTAGTCCGTGCTGTAAACTTCCGGAAAAAGCGAAAAGGCCGACTCTCCAAAATGAAAAGTTCAGCAATGCTCAAAAATCCTTGCTCCAGCCTTGCAGTAGTGAAGTTGATCTTCTGAGATGTCCCTCTCCGACCGCCCCTCTTGGGCTTAATCAGCCTCCACAGCACGTCCGGCACCCAGTCAGTATCCCACTGATCAGGCTCAAGGAAGGATGACGTGGCGATGACCTAAACGGGCAGCACGCAGCAGAGCTGCGGCTGATAACCAAAAGAAACTTTTTGGTTCCAGCCCAAACTAAGACCACCTGCAGGCAAGCGCGCCTTTTTAACACGCTTGAGCCGAAGTTGCCGGTTCGCTCACGTCAGCGAGCCGAACACAGTCAGGGCAAGGGTGCGAAAATGGATTCCTGGCTTTGAACCCTCGAGGCCTCCAGATGGCGGTGCGTAGATACATCACGCCGAAGGCACAGGTTTCCTACAAGCGAACTCAGCAATTTCTAGCTTCCTCTTTAATTGCAGGCATAGGGGAAGGTTGGTGAAACCTGGGGAATCTTCTTCTTTAAATTGATAAAATTGAGCAAATAAATAGACATATTATGAAATATGAGTATCTTTTCTTTTGTATTGTTTGTCTCCATTGGAAATGTCTCCTCAAAGTTCGCCACACGCCCTGCCTGCTCCGTAATGCCTTTCAACAATGGCTTCTTGGGCGCCGGATCTAGCTCTGCAACCGTCGCATGAAAAGTGTGGTAGCAAGGATCTTCGGGCTCAATAGATCCTGGGTAAGCAAAAGGGTTCTGCAGATAGAAGGGGTTGCAATACCTTACTTGATGAAGGATCCAGCGCGAAACAATAAAAGAACTTTTCCATGTTCTTCCCCCACTGCTCAGGTGAATACAAAAGAAAAACATACCCAATGGCCAGTGAGGTACTCCTTGTAGTCTGCATCCTGCGCGTGGAAAGCCTGGAGCACTGGTGGCTTCGGCTTCTGGCTTGGGAAAGGGGACTTTGGCTTTGGCCCCATCCTTGGCAGCGCTGGCGCGGCGCGTTGCTTGATTTCACCAATCATTGATGCGTGATTTAGAAACGATATGAAACGATCAATCGACCTTCTCGGCATAAACAGTTGCTGTGTCAAATCTTTGGGAGGAATTCCAGGTCACTAAGTGACAACAGGAGCTCACAGTTTCTGAAGACTCACCTTCTCCTTTTTTCTCCAAAGAAAGACTAAAGGGACAGAGACGAAGATGGAACGACGACAGAAGGGCGACAAAATGCCCTGGCCTACACCACCCAAACACACGCAAACTCGCAATCTTGTACATGCTCTGATACATCGATACTAGAGGCCGCAGTTGCAATTGTGAGAAGAGCAACGCCCGCATGTCTTGACGCCCTAGCGGCAGTGGGAAATCACTCCGGCTCGCGGGTCTCACACACACACAGGACACAAAAAGGTGCATTAAGAAGGTGAAGTGTCTGATGCCACTCCAGAATGCAACGCGCGGGTTCTGGCGCACCAACAACTCTGGAGGAGGAGGAGGAGGGAAAAGAAGAAAAGAAGGTCTTCGCGTCTTCGTGCTCCAAAGCTGTTTTGACTGCTAAAGAGTTTGTAACAGGACAATGGGTCATGGCACCCTGCAACTCTGGCTGAAAGTCTGGCTCACCCACCCTATGACACTTGCGCACTCAGTCTGAAACTTCCCAAGACCTTGCAGTTCAACTGGGTGTCTGGAAGTTCGGGCTCGCCCACCAAAACTCAGCGGAAGACATGGGTGTGAAGTCTTCCGCGACGGGCGTTTAAATCGATTCGCCAGTTCCTTTTCAAGCGACACATAGGCAGCAGTCAAGAACTCGATGAAGGTCGCCGAAAAGTTGCCCCCCGAAGCGTTCACCGCCACCGGCGATTCCTCGTGGAGTCTGACCAAAGGGTAGAGTGCGGATGCACAAGGGGCCCTAACATGGTCTCTCAGAGGGTTCAAAACTCAGCCACCCGTTCTCCCTCTAAGATCTCTAAGCTGTCTGCTATTGAAGTGGGCTCAATACTTGACAAGATTGACTACTACGTACCTCGTCGATAGATTCGTGGCTTGCTCATTGCGGCTTTGAATCGTCTTCCCCAGGAAGAGATGCCACTAGCTTCCCCTTTCCGAAGAGATCCCACTGTTTGAAGAAGCGGTTCCAGCTCAAGGTCCAATGCTCAGTGGCCTTGGGGTCATTCTTCGAGAGCTGAAGGCTTCCGAGGCTTGGGATTTGCGTCTTCACATAGCTTGGAGCGCCAGTCGTATCCATGCCACTGGGGCAGTAGTAGCCCTCGAAGTCCTGTCGGACATCAGGACCCCACATCTGGGAGCCCAAATGGGAAGCCAGTGAGAAATAACATGTTTTGACCCATTTTGACCCTATGGAACATTTGCCCGTCACCCGGTTGAACCACCATACACCACCATACCTGGTCCTGATAAGTTCGTTGCAGCCGAGGTGTTGATGTCAAAGCCATGCCTATGCGCCTGCGATGGGTCCCGGTGCTCAATCAAACAAGAATAAGCTCAGTCGAAAATGGGGTCAACGTGAATGATCAAGCTGAATCTGTTCTAGCAAAAATGTCTGGTGTAAACGGATTGAAACGTTAGAACCACTTTGTTCCAACCTCTGCAGCTTGCAGCAGCCAAGCTTGAACTGGTTGGAGTCGAAGGCCACACTCGCCACAATACCTCCCCCTTGGCAAGAGGAGGCCGTTGGATTCTGGCAGGATGATAGCAGCGCTGTCGAACGGCAAAACAAGCGCAAGCCTGTTTTGTTTTGGGGGCCACCGTAGGACCCCTTCTCCAACCCTTCACAGGAGTTCCAGGCAAGTTGTACCAGCCGCTCACTGCTGTACCATCAGGGCAACTCATGGAACCTGAGAAGGCATAGAAGACCTTTTCCTCAGGGACCATTCTGACACGTCGAATCATCACAGCGGACACACACCGAAAACTGGAGAGCCATTGCAGCGGTCAGTCTTCGCGCATGCGACGTGTACCCTGTCTGGGGCTGTAGAGGGACCTGTTTACCTGGCTTTCAACTTGAGCTGACATATGCTTGTTTCTGCCAAGACCTAGAGCGCGATACCTGTGGGAATATGGACTTCAAGTGTTGGAGCTCTACCAACCTTCGGCATAGAACTGTCTGCCTTCATGTTCAGCAAATTTCTGTTTTACATGGAGAGTTGCTGTGACCATCTGCTGCCAACATCATTAACATTCCGTAACCACTCCTCCGAGGCATCCACGAACACACAATAGGGCATGGTCGAACTTCCGGATGCAACCACAGCCCCCGGTGGGCAAGTGAGACCCCAAGGGGCGCCGTTGGGCTGCAGGCTGATGAATCCTCGGAGAATCCAAGACCACGCTGATGAAGCGACTTCGAGCAAAGCCCTTTTCCCCCAACGAAGCACAAAAACAAACGAGCCAAAGCCTCCCTCCGTTGGAAAACACGACCCAACGACAAGTCAGCCAGGACTCCCACAACCTCCGCAAACGCTGATGTTGGGCCTCTGTAGTTGAAAGGCGGCAAGTGCGGATCCCCGAACTGTGTGGCATGATAGGCCAATCGAAGGATCTGGCTGAGCTGCTGCATCGTCATGCCCCCCTTGGCCGTGTTGACCGCAATGCTGGGGTCGACATGTCCAGTCGCTTCCATCCTCAAGTCTGGCTGCAACACTCTTCTGATAAGCTGCGCAATCAGAAATGGAATTCTCTATGTTACTTCGTCCAAGGGTCAGCACAGGACAACTTTTCTGAATGATCAAAGTCTGGAAACGGTCTGCAAACCTTGGCTGTCTGAACAGTCAAGAGAGCCGAACAACTGATTGTTGACCCTGATAGTGACGTCCAAAAAGCACTATGATATACTATGATGACAAGGACTGTTTGCATGAACATTCCCGTTCCCAGCAAATGCTCATTATCAACAGTTGCAACCACGGAACAAGCTAGTTGATTGTGACAAATCGCTTGCCTTCACAGCGATATTTTCGGCGCACAAAGTTGAACGGTTGCCATCCAGCACTGGCCCCTCTGCATGGCCTGAGAACCGTGCACTGCAGGTGCACCGAAGGCAAAGAAACGCAAAAAGAGAGTCTCACTCAACCAATGAGTGTTTCGTGGTGTTTTCCTACATCTTCCCTACTCAATGGATTCCCCAAGTGTTTCATGGTTTGCCCTGCTCAAACATTCTCCGCAACGACCTGTCCGAACTGCAACCCCCTGCCTGGTAAACAAGTGAAGAGGACCTTGCTAGCGCCATGAGTGGTGACATGGATGCCGGGAGCTCTTGTATACCCAGCCTTTTCCTTCACAGAAAGAGAAGCAAAGTCAGGAATCGACAGGTTGAGACCTTGTGCATCTGCATTTGGATCTGGATTCTCGTGCATGGCGACTGACACAGAGGCTTCACAGCCTTCGAGTTCTGTCCACGTCCCGCTGCTTGGGCGGGCGCCGATCTTCTCCAAAGTCCACGTTTCGGTCCAAACGTACACATCACTGTCGCTCATGCACTCCTGAAAGCGGTCAGCTGAGTCTAGCCGGTCTCAATAGATTCCCCTGAGAGTGGAGGCTTGCTATATGTTTGTTGCAATTCCCCATTACTATGAGGGCCTAGTCCAGACTCAGCAAAGAAGAGGTACACTCAAGCTGTTAGGTAGCATCATCGCACATGTGAGTTTCTTTTCTCACGTGCCTGAGCCACTGGATTGCGTCGTTGCGCATTGAGTGAAATGTCTGACACCCTGCCTAAAAAGTCGCATTGCATGTAATCTGTTTCACCGTTCATGCGCTTCGTAGACCCTATGGTCACGGTCTTCGTCTCTGTTGTTCCATCCCTCAACGAAGGCATCCCAGCTACCGTCGGTTGTACATCATGCGCTAATCGAAGGTCAGCCTCAGGTCTTCTGGATGATGGCTGGCCACAAGCAATTGCAAGAACTGCTTGCACAGGTAGGTAGGCAGGAAAAATTCCAGCCTCATAGACTCGCTCCACGCATTCAGCTTCTTCACGTGGAAGCCATGTAAGAAGGATTGTCCAGTCCTCAAATTGATTTGGAACTGGTTCAACTGGTTCTGGTTGTGGTTGTGCATCTGTCATTTCCACGTCACGTACTTCTGTTGAACCTCTCGGTCCATTGAGTCAATCTTCTGAATCACTGTCCGTCATACACTCTTCACGTTCTGACGTGGTAGGCCTGTACCTCCTCACGTCTCTCACGCCACCACGGTTTCGTTGGAAGTAGCTGTCACCACTCTCTGCGTCGCTGGCGTGCTCCAGGATGCGATAGGTTGCCATTCTGCCTCTTTTTGGAGACCAGGCATAGATCGTAGTACCCTGTTCTTGTTCTTCCGCATCTGTCATGTTCTGGTTTTCATCACTGTTAGAAGGAGTCTGCTGAGAACCTTGCGCTCGTAGTAAGCAGTACTTGGGTTTGTTGATAATTCAAGAACTGTTGCTGCCCTGCCTGAGGTCGTAAGGTAGAAGAACTAGCGGTTCCACCTGAGCTTCATCTACATGTCCACGAAACGCTTCTCTCAAAGCTGTCGCCTTTCTGACATAGTCTAGCACATGTTCCTCTCTGAGATCACGACGTCATCGTTCTTGCCTCTTTCTCTGGAAGCTGTCACGAAGTTCCCTAATCCGGCTTCTCAAATGGCTGCCTCAAAAGCATTCCAAGACATACTCCACTAAGAAGAAAAAGGAGGTTGCAAACACCACGCTGCGAAAAGTGGACTTGTAGTCCATGTCATACCATTCCATCCAGCTGAGCTTTGCCTCCACAATTTCGGTCTCAAAGTTTCCAGGAAGATCACGGCTACTCTAAGCCTCTGTTAGCAAACTCATGAGAGTCACGGCTTTCACCATCTTCTTTGGAATTGGAATTGGACTGATTCCGTCAACCAAGCTCTGCAACAATGTCCTCCGGACACTCTTCACCTGTTGTCCAATGGCCTTCTTTCGAAGGTAGTCATTGAACTCCTTTTCTCCCACGGCTACAAAAGCCTTTCTGCTCTTGGCAAAACATCGCGAAACCTGCCAGGAACATCAGGAAGCATCGTCTGCTCTTGCTTAGTTTTTTCATGTTCAAGTCTGACCAGCACAGCCAACTTCTCTGTCTTGACCTCATCCTGGATCCAGAGCAGTGGTGTGTCAGTGTGTTTCATCCGACCAACTCCAAACCGGTGCGCAAATTGTCTACATAAAGACGAATCCGTCACTGTGAAGATCTTGCAAGGTTCTTTGCACAGGAATTGCCACACTGCACAGGAAATGCCACACCTCAGCCAAATGTAATGATTCAGCTGCACCACCAACACACGCAGTGAACTCTGCCTCGCAACTGGAAAGGCAAATATATTTCTGCGTTCTGCTTCAGGATTGGATCATGCCCCTGTCGATGCAGATCATGACCGAGCTTGTTGAATGCCTCTTGCGCTTGTCTGAACTTTTGTCACCAGCCCAGCCACTGTCGGTGTAGCATTCCAGGATGTGAGCGCCAATGAGCATCACTGAACTTGCCATAGAGTTCGTCCATCTTGCTGCGCTTGTCCTCCTCCGCGTAGGGCAAAAGAATCCCATAGGATGCGGCGCCTTTCAGATACAAGATGAGATGTTGGACACCTTTCACTGCCTCTTTGGTGGGGCTGCTCGTGAATAGCAGCTAGATCCCTCACAGCATTTGCGCATCTGAGAGAAGTAGAGCAAAGTCCCCAAAGCACTTCGGAATCTTGTATCTCTTGGTTGTCCAGCTGCTCTCCTTCAAGCCTGTCAAAGGCTACATCTGGCGTTGCCCGTTCTTTCTTCTCTTCGAGGTTGTAGAGCCGTAGTCTTGAAGGGCTTCGGTCGCGCGCTTGGGCGCGTGATCTTGAAGTACACTAGTACACGGAAGAGCTTCTCACCAAAAGGTCCAGCCCGCAGGGGGGTGGAGGTGTCCAATCCAATGATTCGAGCGAGGTCGACATCAAAGCTCTTAATTATCTTGGGAGAAAGTGAAGACCACAGATGGGCTTCCTGGAGCGGCTTCACTTCCTGACGATGCGAAAACCTTCAAATTGAACCAGTCGGCCGTTAGCGACAAGGCGTCCGGTTCTCCTGCTTGCAGCTCAAAAACACCAACTGGCTGACCGAGCTCCTGGGGGAGGTGACCCTCTCTGCCGCAACTCCTCCCTGACGAATCAAACTGTGAATGTGAACCCGGGAGCGGCATTCTCCTGCCACGAAGTAAGGTCGGTTGATCGAGGGCTTGCCGCCATACTGGCTATAGCGAAAAAAACGCATGGGTATTCTGAGGGCAAGCGGATGGCGTCGCCAATATGTCCCTGATAGCAACACCGGCAGTAGAAATCCAAGCTGGGGCTCCAGTCACTAGGGCGAAGAAATCCCTCACCCATAGTCCCAATCAGCGACGAACCTGGGCAATTATGAACAAAGGTGTGGGTCGTGGAGTAGTTCGGAACATGAGTTCGGGGAAAACTGAGCTGGAACATCAAGGTCAGCCGACGTTGCTTCAGGAGTAAGAAAAGGACGAAGATGGATCCCGCTCCAAAATCCGGTCAACCTGACATAGAAATTCCATGAAGTTCCTCGAGCGGTTGGGCCATTGCTGAATCGGGCGCCCCCTAAATGGAGCTTGGAGCACGCTGAACAACCGCTGCCTCATCCCAGCTGCCAGGGTGGTGGCTGTTGCGGATCAGCGCGTCAGCGTAGGGGGCGCACGGCTGAATCAAACGTTCCCAATCAACAAAGCGGTGGTTGGCCAAAACGGCGAAGAGGTTTTCACGTCCATTGCTCACAATGTGTAGCCAAAAGGGAATGGTCCAAAGGTGTTGTTGATGACCAGGGCTGAGGCGATATTCGTGACAAAGCCGAATGGCGCGGCCTGCTTGTTCCAATTGGCCCAGGTCAGGAATGCGATCTGTCCACCGAATGTTCCAGCGAGGTGGTTGCTCTGGGACGGCGTGGCAGTGTGGAGGGTCATGAGGTGGTCGGCGCGTCGGAGGCAGAACGTGGTGGAAGGTAGGTGAGGTTGTGGCTGATGTGGTGCGGTCGGTGTGCGAAGTGGAAGTCAAAGCCGGCGGCGTTCATCACTTGGAAGAATTGTCGCTGAAGGTGCTGAGTTCCTGAGCTTCAAGGTTCGAGAGTGAGGGTGTGTGGAGAAGTGAAACAAGAGTGTAAAGGCTTGTGGTCGCGGTGGTGTCACTGGACGAGCAGGTGGCACAGCAGCGGCGGGCAGCATCGGCGGCGGGCAAGCGAAGTATGGGGCGAGGCGTAGACGATGACCAGGAGAGTCGCTGGAACCAACACGATCCGAGGCCCCGGCATCAGGTGGTCCTTCTGACTGAAGTGGGATTTGCAGTGGATCTCGGTGTCTGTGTAGCGTCACGTCGGTGACGACGGGGACGGGCTGGACTCCTTGAAGAGCGACCACGGCTCGGCTCCGAGCTCACACTGGGCTCTCATTAAGGAGAGACACACAAGATACTGTGCACTGACTTGATGCGCGGCGGCAGGATGACGACGGATCGTGCAGATCTGCGGAACTCAAAGGCCCAAAACTTAAATGCAGGTACGTCAGCTCGGCGTCCCGAGTTGATATCACAGACCAATGCAAGCGTCTTTGTTAGTGCCAGACTTCCATGGTCCCTGGCACCCCCTGCTGAAGAAAGGATAACAAAAACAAATTCAAAGGAATCCCTGTGACTCCAAGGGTTACACACACAGCCAGCCTAAGTAAAGGCCTAAGAAAACCAGGACAAGAGTAAGTAAGGTGGTCTGAGCATCATCAAAGTCACAAGAACCTCCGAGGCCAACGTTGAGAATTCCAAGGAAAGCGCCAAATGCGTGTCTGCAGAGCTCAAAAGGGGTGCAATGGCTAGTAATTGGTTCTAGTTACAAAGGGGCCCATGAGGAAATAAGTGGTAATCACAGCAGGTACATCTGGCGGATCAGCAAGGGTCTCACACACACAGCCCTTATAACTTAACCCTTTTCTCTGCTTCTCTGTTTCCTCTCGGTGGTTGGCCATTCTATCCTGACCGTCTTTCCTGCCCCGTCCTCAAAAAGGACCATGTTCGGACTGCTCGTGTCAAAGACGGCGCCCCAAGGACCGATGCATTTGAACGTGTAGGAGTGGCTGGATGGAAACCTTTCCCCCAAGCGTGAGACGCACAAAGTACTTTGTGCGACTGATGCATCCGTCCGAAAACATGTCAGACAAAAATGCGAAAAAGTCGCGTCAATGAAGAGTTCATTCATCAAGAACAGCTAAGCTTCACGCAATTCCACCCGGATGGATGCAAGGAAAGAACCAGAAGGACAAGTGAAGTTCACCAAGCCGGTGGTTGTGTCGTCGTGAGCGTCATAAGAATGCACCGGCGGCTTCTCGGCCATCACATAACTAGAGCCAAGGCGAGCACAGCGTGCGGAACATCGTGGGCCGATACCATGTGGGTCTGGGGAGATTGAACTCGGCCACTTCACATCCGTCAGGACACTTTGATCATCTGCGTCGTCACAGTTCGCTCCAAACAAAGGTGGATCGTGCATTTGGGTTACACAAAATCCCGAAGAGGTGTGCTCCACGTTCAAGAAGCCAGACTCTCGGCAAACCTGGCTCCACCCATTCTGTTTGATGAAGCCGGAGAATTCACCGTAGCTCGTGCACGCAGTATAGTTCCTGGCTTGGCCCTTCTCTATAACCAGGCTCCTAAGACCGTTGCTGGTGGTGGCGGTACTTGGCTTCATGCTCTTTGCTCGCAAGCACTGCTTTGAACCTGAGGCACTGGAGGCTGGCATGATCTTGCCACCAGAGACCACGAAGTTGAATTCAGGACCAGGAGTGGTCTGTTTTGCGGCGATCAAGCGCAGCTGATGATCATCCTCGATGGTCTGCAAGTAGTAGGTCGTCTTCAGATCCCCAAGATGAAAATATGCTATGTGAGCTCCTCTCCAAAGGAAAGTTGATCGGCACTCAGATGACATTTGCATCATGTACCCCTGGCCCAATTTCATCGTCAAGTCGGCATGGAGGCAGAGTTTGGCATTGACAGGAGGGTAATCGATGTATATCTGGAACAAGCCTCCCACGTCAAAAAGAATGGGTCCAACTGTCTCAAGTGACCCTGCTAGCCTTTCCTCTAGCCTAATGATAGCATCATATCCAACGGTTAAACCTAAAATACTTTCAGCTAATCAAACCATACTTCAGCCCAGCGCTTGGCCTTCGCCTTCGCTTCGAGTCTCCTTGAAGGCCAAATTCCCCAAGCGCAAGGGCGGCGTCTCAGCCGCCGTCTCAACGGTGGCTGTCCAAAGCATCTGCGCGGTGTTGCTCAGATCAAAGCCGAAAAAACCTAGCAAATCACAGACATAGCCAAAGGCAAAAATGATGTCGGTCCTCATGAGACCTCCCACCTCATGGGTCTAGTTTTTTTCTTTCTACAATGGTTTTAAGTTGTGGGTCTCCCTCAGATCCGTTTCTGGAATCAAAGCGTACCGCGTACCTTTGTACCTTCATGTTGGGATGACAACAGAATGAAACCAAATGCAGAAACTTCTGAACCAGTAGGGTGCCTGGTCTTTCAGCTATTCACGGTCTCGCCTTTCTAAAACCGAGCACTTGAACGCAAAGTAACCAACAACAAAAACAAGAAAAATCACAGACTCTGCCAAAGAGCAATTCCCAGACTTGAAGTACCAAATAAACCTCGGCTGAAGAGCGAAGGATGAAACACAAAACACCATTTGCGCCCAAACCTGAAGTGCATTTTTTTGATGTGGGCTGGGCTGGCTTCGTAGGCCCCAGTGACTTGTCTATAATGTAGAAAAACGGGGGCTGCCCCCACCCACGGACAGCAGCCATTCCTTTTCTGTCCGCCTTGCTTGGATATGTCTGTGCCCGCAAACAACTGGTCAGCCCAAAGTGTGTTAGCAGCTCTAGGCATGAGTGTTTTTGTGATTTCCAGCGAAGTTGCAAATTTTTAACTTGGAGGGGCTGATGGTCGGAAATTTTCATTCGTGTCTTGCACGTGAGGCCCCTTGCTTCAGCGCCACCGTCCAAAGCTCCGCTTTTCTGCTGAACTTTGCGCTTTGCTGCTTTGCTCAAACAAATCAGGAAAAAGACTAGCGCACGCGTCCTTTGTCGCCTCTGCAACCATAGAGGCTGACACTCGACCTGTTCATGTTGCGCTGGCACAGCAAGACTTCGTCGCTTCAAGTACAGTGCTCGGGCTTTCTGAGTCGAGGGGATCACACGTGGGTCTGGAAGTTTCTACATACTTTGGACTCGGTTCTGGTGAAGAGCGAGTTGTTCACTATCTACTTCTTTCTATTTCCTATTTTGGGGAGGCTTTCTTGCGTGGGTCATCCAAGCGTTCCTGGCGTGACCGAGCGTCCGGTCCGGTGGCTTCAGGTTGTTTCCATGAACGCAAAACTCGGCGATTTTGGTTCAAGTACTCACCTTTAAGAAACAAAAATGCACAAAAACAGATATATCTGATATATCTGTTATTCAAGCCAAACAATGCTAATGATGCAGCTAGCCGCGGGCGGCATCATTCAAACCACGGTTGCCGTTGCCAGTTTTGTTTTATTCATGGTTACTCACGGGCTTCTTGGTGTTTTACTCCCAAGCGTGGGCCATGTTGTCGGGTGACCCCTTGGAGAGTTTGTTCTCCTCACGTGGAGTTTGAGATGGAGGTGCAAGCCACTTGTTGGCAGAGGGCTGGACACTGCCCACCTTCGCTTGTAGCGCCGCCTCATCTAAGAACCTTGACACAGTTCTTCTCTTGATGCGGGTTCGCCGAGCCTCCAAAGAGGCCCAAGCTGATTCCTCTTGCACCATGACCGTGGAACAGTCCGGGAGCTGGCTGGAGACTTTTGCTCCTAAGTTGGAAGACCGCCGCAGGAGCCGAAGCTGACCTCAGTTCCCTGGCCAGATCAAGCGCCAAGGGCCAGGATGACATGCGTGCGTGGTCCCTGCCTGAGCCTAGATTTCTGAGCGACAAAAGCTGTATGCAAGTGATAAGGAACATATCTACAACTTTTTCGAGTGCTCGTTTTCAAGACTGTCCTCCAATGGCATCATGCAAAAGAGCGTCCTACAAGTCTCCCACAACAGCGTCCTGTAAGAGTGTCAGTGTCTAGCAAGAGTGTCCCACCCACCAGAGTGCACAAAAGAGTGTCCGGAATCCAGCAAAAGTGGTGTGTGTGTGTCCTACATGTGTGTTCCACATGTGAGTGTGGTACAACGTGTCCTTTTTGAAGAGTGTCGCACCAGAGTGTCCAGCAAGTGCAACAAAAGTGTCGCACCAGAGTGTCACCCCAGAATGTCCTTCAAGAGTGTTAAGCAAGAGTGTCAAACAACGTTTGGCCGTTTGTATCTGCATACGTGCATGCATTCGGGTTCGTGGGCTCCATCTTGTTCTGAATCCGTGATCTGCCAATGGAAGAAAACAATACCTTCATAAACTGCTGATACCATTAGATGGGAACATTCATACTCCAATCTTACCAGGACTCACTATGGCATTACAGACACCAACCACTCGCAAATGGTGAGACTTCTGCTAACGGGTGCAACAAGTACAACAGGTTGTGACACCTCGTTCTCCGAACCTGTCTGGCGGTTCCACGGCGTTGCTTAACATCTAGTTGACCCCATGTTGACTCCTGAAACCGGGCCAAGCAGCTTCAGATCCCGGCCGTTTGGGCAAGTCGCCACTGCCAATGTCTTGTCAGCTTGGAGGCATTTTGTGCCGCTGGATGCTCGAATAACACCCTGCTCGAAGAGCCAGAAGTCTTTCTTCTGGAACGACGCATCACACAAACAGGCTTGCAAAGCATGGCCATCGTCACAAATACACCACTCCTTGTTTGGATCAAGCACATTATATCTCACTCGTAGGTGGCCAGATGTTGAATCAATCCACCACAACGATTCAGGCTCAAGCACCTCCAGTTGGAGGTGTTGATCCTGCGAAGGACAGCGTCTCGTGTTTGAAGGCTCGGCGTTCATAAATGACTGAATTGACCAAACCCATGCTGATTGCCTGTTGTAATGATGACATGTTACCTTGCCCTAGGAAAATCAATGCGTCAGAACTATGGAACTAGAAAAAAAAACTACCCAGTGGCTTGCTTGGTCCTTTAACTCCTATTGTCACTAGGACAAGTTTATAGAGCTTTTAGAGCTTTGAAGAGTCGTTACAAAAACGGACGATCTCTGGTTCTTACAGTTTGCGATCTGTGAAAACTCGCAACTGCTCAAGTGAGCAACGTTCCCTCTCAGAGTGAGATGTGTTTAAAAAGGTTGCCCGCATGGCGCTGGTTGGCGTAGGTCCTAAGGTGCTGTCAGGCAAAAGTTCACCGAAAACACGGAATGGAGACAAAGAAATGCAATCTGGCCTGTACGACGGATGAGAAGTTTTGAACTGTATGGCGCCAAACCTCTCCACAGAGGTCACAATCGATGTAAAAAGAAACGCGACAAGTCTCAGACTGCGATGTAGACAGTTTTGCGACAGACTGCACACTTGGCCGCGTATTGTGCAAACTTGCTGCTAAGTTTAGCTGGTTTCGGTCTTGCACTCAGACGGGACCAGAGGTATCTATTCCTGTGTTGCACTGAATCCCAGAGCCACATGAATGTCCTTTGCCACGTCGAGGAACATTTGGGTCTCTGTGGCCACCAATGGAGAGGCTGTTTTTGCGCTGGCACGAGTGCAGCCATTGATGGAGAAGGGGTAGGTCACATGCACCACCCTGGGCGACCGCGTCTGGTTTTTGGAGCTAGGCATTCTGACAGATTTGATTCAACTGGAAAATGCACGTTTCTTCGCAACAGGATACATTCCTATTTCCCAAATGTTCGGTTGCCTGCGCTCCAAGAAGTAAATCTCCGGCATCGAGACCAAAGACAAACGCTGAAGGTTGGCGTCTCCAACTTGAATACATCTTTGGCACCTGAGAAACACCATCAAACTCCAAAAGTAACAAAAGCAGCTCAGCTGCTGCACAAACCCTGCGAACTTTTAATGAACTCAGCTTCCCGCGTAAAATTGGACAAATACTGCCAAGGACCCTGTTCGCCAATCCACTCACCGCTCACACACGTAAAGGCCGAATCACTTTCACGAGGGCCTTCCCATTGAAGTCCATGTTGCAGTCTGGCAAACATCCTGGAGGTGTCGTTGCATCCCACGGAGATCTGCGAAGCAGGAGGAAAGATCTCAGGAAGAGGAATCTTACTCATGCCAACTGCAGCAAATGAGCGTCCATCAGGGCTTGTAGTGTCGATGTACTGGCAGCGCATGCAAGGGCCATCTTCCTTTCCAAGAATAAGTTGCAAGGTATCACAAGCCTCAAACTGCTTTTGGAACAGGCAAGGCGGTAGGTTTGAAGGTGCAAAACTCAACATGCTTCGGCGCTTGATTTCTTGCCAGCATTTTCGCGGGTTAGCAATGTGACAATAAGATCCCTCCTGAGGGACCATTCCATACAACTCGTTCACAACCTGTAGGCCCACATCTTGTACGTAGTTGCAACTTTTGAGCAAAGTGCAAATCTCTGAGGTCTTTCCGAACAAGTAGAACTGGCATTCTGGTTTGGCGGAGCATGCCTTCTGACAGCTTGCCAAGTCGATGTGGGAGAACTGTCCCAATGAGGCCTAAGTGCAACCTACCAGACAACCTTACCCCCACACAGAACAGCAAACGAAATGCTTGCTCTTCAAACAGCTGAACTCACTTGACTTGTGACACAAACCACTTGAACAGTCACAGACTTTCAGTAGCCTCCAACATATATATATATATACATAATAGTGATGGCCTCCAACCTAACATAGCGATGGCCGGCAACCTAAAAGCGATGGCCTCCAACCTAAAAGCGATGGCCTCCAACCTAGTAGCGATGATGTTAGGCAGCTCGCATCTTTGTGCCGAAAGCGCTCACGAGTATGTATGTGTACCTGTACATGAGCAAACCTTATATCTAACAAGACTACATGTAAAAGTGAAAATTCCTAACACGCCGCCTCAAAATGCGACGTCCAAGTCGTCTTTTTGTGACTTGGTTCTTTGGTTTGCTCTGCTGGGTATCGCTTCTGCTAAGCGACCAAAGATTAAGTTCCCCCAGCCTTCTTCTTTGTACATAACCCATATGTACTGTTCCGGCAAGAATTTCATGCCATTCCCACAAAACTTGTTTGTAAATTCACCTTAGTATCAGGTGGTTCAGCTGTTGCACCTGTACTTTTCGTTGTGCACAATACGTGGTTCAGATGTTGCACGTATTGTTTCGTGGGTATCATACCAACCATGCAAATTGTATTGAATTGTAAACTCAATGCTGAAACTTTGAATTGCTTTGTCCACTGAAATCAATTGTCCGTAGATCCTCGAGGTCTCTGCTCTTCATCACTTTCAGTTCCTGAAGGTAGATAGTGAAGACCTACCCACATGTCCGGATCAGAAACTTCGCTCATCGTAGACCTCAAGTACCTTGCTATTCTTGTATCTTCACTTTCGCCACTCGACTCTTCAACATCTTCTTCTTCTCCGTCTTCATGGTTTGAATTGTCTCTATCTGGTCTTGCTATTGCTTGCGCCGCCTCACTTGCACTCCCAGTACTGCGTCCAGGAACTCGATCTGGTCGAAAATAGCCATCACTTTCCTCCATCCTTTCGAACAACTCTGCAACTCTCTCACTTGGTTCAGCTCCTGGTTCTGGAAGTTCAGGAATGTCTGGACCTCTAGGGCTCTCTCCATCGACCGACAAGTCTGTCATCGACCGACAGAAATGGTGTGCTCTCAATCTTGCAATCTCTCCAGGGTTCGCCTCAAGGATAACAATGTCGACCTCAAAATCTCTCTCCTCTTCCAATACTTCTTCTTTTCCTCCTCCGACATTCTTCCAGCTCTCCTCTCTATTCGTCTCTCCACTCGCCCCAGCATCCAGTAAGTGAACCACTCTGGAGACCATGGTTCCCATTTCCCAGGTGGTTCTAGGGGCATTGGCGGAAACAAAGGAGGTTGAGGCTCTATCTCTGCTGCTGGTCGTCCAGGTCCATCTGAACTGCTGGCACCTGGTTCGATATTGTCGTTGCCAACCACCACTCTTCTTGTTGTCTCTGGTTCAGGCTCCTCCTCGTCTCTCTCATCGTGCCGTCTCTTTCTTCCTCGTGGTCCAAATCTGGCCACCAGCGCATGCCAATTGTTGTGAACCCAATTGCACAATGCTACAAGAACCAACACCAACAATGTCAAATAAAACTGTTGACTGTTGTCCTGTTCGACAACCTCGTCGGAACTGTGCTCCATACATCCCTTCAGGTTCATTGCTTGCATCATCATGACACACTGTGCAAATAACCGGCTAGATTTGTTCTTCGTCCACCTCGTCACTTGCCTCACTTGATTCTTCCATTGCTGCTCCATGAAATATGTTGTCTGCTCTTCTTCTCCAATCCTTTCCAAAATCGTGTTGTCCTCACTGATTCGGATTGCACCCATGAAAGAAAGTAAAAATTTCCTTCGCATCGCTGTCAGCTTCTTTGTGTTCAAATCAGCAATATTTGTTTGGGTCGGTACTGGCAATGCTTTCACAACCTTGGATCGTATCGCATCCTGCAACCAGCAAAGTCTGACATCAATATGCTTCAGTCGACCTATGCCTGACCTCTGCAACCATTGACGCCCGCTTGAGGAATCACTTCGGGCTTCCAGTGAAATGCTGTGCCTTTTCCCAACCATGAATTGCCATACTTCTTTCAACAACATGGCTTCGCTTGATCCTGATGTCAACGAAAGAACTTCAGCCTCACATGAACTCAAAGCGACTGCTTTCTGTGTTCGACTGTAGGAAAGTACAACCAGGCTGTTCAATAGAACCACAACTGATGTTGTTGATTTTCGGTATAGACTACCGGCCCAGTCACTGTCGCAGAAAATTTCCATGAGGTGTTCTGTATCTTCCAACTCATCTTGCGGTGCGTTGTTGAGGATCTTGGCCATACTTGTTCCAACTTGTGTATATGGTAACCAAAATGACATGTTCTTGGTACCTTTGAGGTACAGAATCAACTGCTGCAAACATCTCTCTGCTTGTTCTGTTGGACTTCGCATCGACGATGCTAATGACTTCACACAATACTGAATGTCCAACCTGTCTTGAGACAAATACATTGCAATCCCTAATCCGCTGCGGAACGTGGCTTGTCCACCAGGGTCTAACTCTGGAGAAGTGTCTGGATGTCCCAGAAGACAATGCTCCGGCACTTGTTTTTCTTTCTTGCTGCCACCATCATACAACCTCAGCAGCTTGTCGATGTATCGAGAACCGGATTTGATACAAACACCGCCTTCCAAGAAAACATACGTCTTTTTCAAATAGTTCAGTTCCTCTCCATCTCCAAGCATACCCCGTGGTACAGGGCCTTCAACCTGTAGCTTGTAAATCTTCTTCAACTCAGCAATGACCCACATTAGATCAGCCTCGTTCTCACTCGCAATCAGTTCATCATCGACATGTACATTGATTGCAATTTGCTTTGTAGCGTGTTTCAACACTGAAGGCATTGCAACGCAACATTTGAATCCCAACCGTTGCAAATGATGGGTGAAATCTTGGAACCAACGCTGTGCTCCATTCCGCTGACCTGGAAGTACCTTCTGCAACTGCCACAATGCATTCTGCTGCAAGCCCAACAATTGCTTGATCCAACCTGAAATCTTGACATAGCAGGTTTCTTGTTGTTCAACTGTAAGATAAGCATCACTGATGTCGAGGCTTGCAAGCTTCCACCCATAGAACAAATGCAACATGAGGAAAAATCTCACAACTGCAAATGAACTTGTTGGAGAAAACGTCTCATCTGTAGAAGGTCCAGTCTTGAACTCTCGAGCGACTATCCTGCAACGCCGCTTCCATTGACCTTCTCTGTGCCTCCAATCAAACACTTCTTTCAAATCGACAAACTTTCCATCCTCCGACATCTCATGCTCCAAAATCACCTTCACCACTCCAAGATTCGTCAGCTTTTCAACTTCGGTCTTCATGGCCTCTCCATCCAAATAAGCCAACTCTTCTGGTGAAATCTCCGGAGGTTTGTCTGCAGAAAAATCTTGCTCATCAAGACCTTCCATCTCCAATTCCAATGCTCCCCAATCTACGTCCTTTTCCCATTCGATGTCTCCATGGGGGCGATCCACCTCCTCAACTTGTCCTGCGTAGAAAGGTGCATATAGTCCAGCAGACGAAGGACTTCCCTCTCGATCTAGTCTTGCAGCTTTGGAATCTCTCTGTTCATCTGACCTGTCCATCTCTCTCTTCTCTCCTGCCTGTTCTAGCTCCATCGAAGTCTCTCCTGGCGGAGTCGAAGGAATAACTGGAATATCCAACAATGTTTTCCTCTGCATGTTCGACAATCTCTCCAAAGGTTCTGACGGTTCTGCCATAACTGGTTGTTCTTCCTGTCGAGGACTGTTCACTTCAGTGGGTTCGTACGACTCAGCATGTTCAGCCACCTCTTCTGCTTCCTCATCAATTCCTCCTGTTCCAAGCCTAAAAGGCTCTCTAGGGTCTGGTCCTTCACCTTTCTCCTCGATCACTGGCAACGGTGCTTCCATCAACCCAATCGGCCCTGAGGCCTTATGCTTTGACCAAGGAGACATCGTCAATGCTTGTACAACATCAGGCCTCCATGGATTTGAGCATCGACGAATGGATCTTGTATGGAACTGACCTCCAGGGGTGATGATCACATTCATGTCGGCATTGTCCTTGCCAACCCAGATTCCCCCAAGCCATATGCTCGAACCTTTCTGCTTCACCGGCTGTCTCAGACCAAACACAAACTCACCAAACGGAAGCAAACGACCATTGTATTTCTTTCCATGAACCATTTCAAATGCTGTTGCTTTGATTGCTGCATGCTCATGGAATCTGTTCAAGAGAAAAACGCTATGTGTCAAGGCCCATGCTCGAAGACAATGAAGATCGTCTAGCTGTTCTCGAATGCCTTCTTCAACACCGGCCACCAGTGTGGCTGCTTGGCGCCTAACCGTTTGTATGTATCTCTCGACACGAGCTGTTCTTCCCTTATGGTAGGGCTTTCCAACTTTCTTGGTCGATTTGTAGCCCATCTCTTGTCTGATCATGATGATCATGTCGAGAAGCCCCAATGTTGCTGGTTCTGAATCCATCACAAAAACAACATTGTCGAGATAGTTGAGCTCGAGCGAAAACTTCACACAAAACTCAGCTACTGCTCTCCAAGCTCCTTTGGTCCGAGTGGGCAAGATAGCCCCGAACCTTGTAGCAGCATCCACCAACACTAAAGCTGGACAACTCCTTCCCAAATACATCCAGTCCATCTGGATATGAGGATCTGCCAACTGCTCTGTCTCCAAGTCTGCACTCTGCAATGTTCGATCCTCACGTGACTTTGTTTTCACGCATACATCACACCAGGCTGCAAAAGGGAGATGCGTTGTAGCATGTCTTTCCAGCTCTCTTTCATCTGTTGGTTTTTCAACTGCTTTCTCCTGCAACTGTGGCTGTGGTCCAAGCATCTGCTTCTGTAAACTGTTCTTCGCTCGATCAACATCCTTTTGATATTGCTTGAACAAATAAGCACATAATCTGTCGTACAACCTCGCCTTTGAACCACTGGCATTCACTCCAAGAAAATTGCAACCATCCTGCAAATCCTTCACCTTGCTTTGACGAGACAGTTCTTTCCCGTTCACCCACACGCTCTCTGGCTGTTCTTCGTGTCCTCCAGCTTGTCCTTGGAATTCCACCATAGGAGCGTCCTTCAGTTCTTCAGGAACACTAGACTCCTTGGGAAAAATGTCAGGTCCTGTTTCAGGTCGTCCTTCGAGCTCATCCATGATCTCAGGCAATTGTGAATCCAGAATTGTTTCACACATGCAAGAACTGAGCGGCTCCACGTGCCTCTGAGGAAACGTCAAAATAATGGTATCTAGCAGCAACCCAGGAATGTCCTCCTCCAAGCCTGTCAATGTACTGAGTTCCTTGGAATGTTCAACAACTTCCCACAGCTTGCCAACAAGAACAATGGTTGTCCTGAATCTCCATACCGCTCTTGACAATGCTGTGCCCGGGTCAACAAACTGCTTTCCGTTTTGTTTGTGAACAGGATTTCCGTTTTCCAAAAACTGCCAACCCAACTTCAATTTCTCAACATTGACGTTCATCTTCACATAAGCACCTCTCACTGCGGCACAAGCTTGGTCTTCTTCCTGATCTTCATCTCTCACCCTTCTCACATGCGCAAAAACGCTCAATGAATTCTTCTTGAAGAAAACCGGAATCCTACACACCAAATCAGGCGACACCAAAACTCCTGCACACGCACCTTGACCCATTTGTCTCACCGATTCATGGTCCTGCGGCTCCATTGCACAAAAGTTCCAACCTGTCTTCAGCAACCTTCCAAAAGACAGAAGAATGTTCGTCACATCCGAGACAATGAAGGACTCACTCAAGAAGCAATATTCTGCTCCAATGCAATGGTTGAACTCCACCTGAGCCTTGCGCATTCCTCCAACCTTGAGGGGATTGCCTTGGGCATCCTCCAGCTTCAGATCATGAGAAGGAATCTCATAGCCTGCAACACACCTGTGAGGCAGCAAAGAAACATCGGCACCTGAGTCTAGCACAATCCATTCACCTTCTTCTTCCAACTCCACTGCTCGTACATGCAATGTTGGATCCTCCCTCTGGGCTCCATGCACCATGCTCGAATCGGGTTCTGCGCAAAACCACAAGTAGAACGAGTCGTCTGCAAGCGATTCCGCAGAAACAACCATGTCCGTTTCGTCACTGATGCAAAACTCTGGGCAACGAAAATCTTCTAGGGCTGCGACCATCCTGACGTGAGGAGGGACTGACGTCCAGTCTTCATTTGAAGAAACTTCAGACAAAGCATACTGCTCTGGAAATTGCAAAGGGGGTGTAGCAACGTGGTACATGCAAACACGGCGGACTGCACGTTGTGTAGAAGCTGTGGCGCTCCCCACTGAACTATAGGTCCGCGCACTGCTTGACGGCACCCTCGTGTCACCATTGTTTTGCCCATGCGACTGTTGACCACCTGTCTCTCTGACCTCTCTTACCTCTCGCTGAGGACACTCATTTCCCCAGTGTCCCCACTCTCCGCATACCCGGCACCGATCCGGGCTGAGCTTCCCCTTTGTCTTACCCTTTCCTTTCGGCTGTTTGCCCTTGCCTTTGGACTTTCCTTTCTGCTTGCCTTTACCCTTTGAGGGTTTTCCTTTTCCTTTTCCTCCTTTTGTCCACTTGCCAGCCCAATTCCACGAGTTGAACCAGTCTCCACGGCCTTTTCCTTTCTGTTTTCCTTTGCCCTTGTAACCACCTTTGCCCTTTTGTGTAACTGCATCAACTTCCATTGCATTCGGATCTGTCAATGCTGGACCCTTCTGTTTGTTCATCGGTTTCAAAATGTCATCAACATTCCACAACCGAGACGTCCTCTCGTAGGCTAGAATTCTCTCTCTCACTTCAGCATACGACGTGGCATCTGAGATGGAAAGAGTGAGGTGTTGTCTTACTGCTTCAGGACAAAGTCTCAAAAGAACTCCCAACAACACATCTCTGTCAAATGCTTTGGATGAAAGACTGTCGTATTGTTGTACCAACATTTCCATCCCCATGATGTGCTCCTGTAAACTCTTGTCACCTCCAGCCTTGTACGAAGGGAACGATGAAATGGCCTGACTGAGGGCCAAAGCTCTCTGCCTGGTTGCTGGCGAGTAGTGATCAACCAAGCTCTTCCACAGTGCATAACCGTTGCGATCCTCGGCTCCTGATCTGCTCAACTGTAATGCGGATCCTCTCAGGTAGCTAGTCAAAACAGCGTAGAGCTTATGAGCTAGATCCCAGTCACTTTGCGACCAATCTGCTGTTTCCACTTCCTCTGATGGAGCCAACTTCTCAATGTCCCTCAACGACTCTAGAAATCGACTGTCAGCGTACCCCAACCAATTCAGGAAACTGTGACGCCAACTCACCCATGCTGAGGAATCTGTTGCATTGAAAAAGTCAGGGGTTTTCAAAATTCGTGCTGCACTCTCCAAACTCTTCGCGACAGCAGAGGCTTCGGCAGTTGAAGAACCTGCTCCTGCTCCCATGGTCTGCGCCATGCCCTGGATGAAAGCCTCTTGCCGATGCAACAATGTACTGAATCCTTGCATGAATTGACCAAATTGTTGTGCATCCATTCCAAAAACACCGTAACCATTGCTTACGATCAAGAAGAGGAACAAATGACCTTTGTTGTTCAACTTCCTTTCCAGGTGTTTCTTTCGTGCAATGTCGCTCCAACGCTTCTTTGATTGCACCTTGTTTCTTCTCCTCTTCTTGCAACCACTCAGGCCCAAGCGCACTCCAATCGAGCTGAACTTCAAGATGGATAGAAACACCACTGAGAATGCGAAAACGCTGAAAGGTCCAAACTGCATGCAAAAAGCAAAACAATCTGTAAACACTCTCTCCCACTGGGCTCCGACGATCAACACCTTTCCAAGTTCTGCCACCCGTAACGCAAATGAAACTGCCTGTATCTCTGCAAGAATTGTCAAATCATCAATGAAAATGTAGAAATAATCAACCAGTACATCAAATTCAGTGCTCTGCACAAAGGTCCACACGATCATGACCTCGCACAGGAACAAAGCCAGCACCTCCATGAGGTGGGCACCAAACATCTCCATCGCTCTACCCGGGGCTCGAGATGCCGCGCGCGTCACCGATAGCGCTATTGCCCCTTCCAGCACCTCCCCCGATTCTTTGCCCGGGATCTTCAGTGCTCCGCTACCATGTTAGGCAGCTCGCATCTTTGTGCCGAAAGCGCTCACGAGTATGTATGTGTACCTGTACATGAGCAAACCTTATATCTAACAAGACTACATGTAAAAGTGAAAATTCCTAACAGATGACCTCCAACCTTTAATAGCGACGGCCTCCAACCTCTTAATAGCGATGGCCTCCAACCTACTAGCGATGGTCGGGACGGGCCTCACTTGCGCACGCAAAAATTAACTCACTTGCGCACGCGTGACTCACTTGCGCACGCTGCGACTCACTTGCGCACACAGGCACGTTGCTGCATTGGAGTGGCACCTTACTCATCTAAATTTTGCCCCCCGATGTCACAAAAGGTCTGCTACGTTAGAATGGCACCTTCCTCCTCTAAATTTGACCCTGGGGTGGCTCACAAACTGCTACTCTGGAATTGCACCTTCCTCCTCTAAATTTTACCCTCGGGTGCGCACACTCCTCAAGAAGCTTCTCAGCCTTTCAACTTGCACGTGTACAAGTGAGGCATTTTCACATAAGCGAGGCGATTTCCGCGTGCACAAGCGAGTGCCATGCCTGGTCGGGTCTCCATTCTTATGGCGATGGCCTCCAACCTACTAGCGATGGCCTCCAACCTTTCACAACGATGGCCTCCAACCTAGAAGCAAGCAACCTGTTCCTATCGCAAGATGGATCTCTCACAATGCAATCCAGCTCTCCCGGGTCTCCTGCCGTCTCTTCACAGGTGTAAGGCCCGGAGAACAGGCGCTGATCAGGAACCTCAAAACGCGTTTGGGACAAAAAGGATGACCCATTGACCTATCCGCAAGACCAAGAAAAGACTACACTGAAAGGAATATATACTGTGCAATACTGCAGGCTCTTGAACTCTTGAAGACAAGAATGTTTCTTGGCAACTTATCCTGTTTTGTCCCTGCAAAACCAGACAAGGAACTGTACCTTTGTTGAAGGCGCCCTGTGCATTGCGCGGGACCGCCGCATTGGAGGCAGGATCCACCGGCTCTGCGTTGGCATAAGCTTCCCCGAAGCACTCACAGGGATGCAATGAATAGATGCCAGGCGTCTCAACCGTGCCAAACTCCAAGTCGCCCAATGGTTTTGAGCATGATGGAACTGACAAAGCCAAGGTTCCCCCTTGCACGGCAGGCTGACTGGCAGCTTCCGCTACACTGAGTTCTGGTGGGAGTAGCTGCAGTTCAAAGGCGGCCTGGCCGTGTTTGAAGGCATTGCCAACCACATCCGTGTCGGTGCAAGCCATAGCATTCCCAAAGAACTCAGGCGCGTGGATGGACTCTGCATCCTCATAGTCAGAAGAGTTGATGTGTAGGAACAACCAGTTCGACCTCAACTGGGCATACTCCATTTGATCAGCTAGCTCTGTCGATGGGAAGAGAACGTAAACCACTTGCGAGTGGGCTTCAAACTCTCTTTTAAACATAAACTGCAAAGCGGTGCACGAAACCTTTTCAGGTACGATCGCTTGGGCCTAAACACCCAGCGTATGTGCATGAACATCTGTACTGTGCCATGACGAGTGACCACTAGGACCAGGACTAATCGAACACGGCCACTTCGTCCTGGCACCTCTTGCAAAGCTCTACCATTTTGGCGCTTTGCCAGTGAGGGCATCTGCTATCAAAATGAAGCGCTTGCCCATTTGGAGTGTGGCGCAAGTAAAGCACCTTCGACTCTAGCTTGCCAAGCTGCTCCTGGGACTTGAGGAACATCTGTAGGTTGTCGTCCCTCTGCCTCCGGATCTCTTTCAGATCCTCCTGGAGGTGTCCAATCATCTCTTCAGCATCTAGCAGCTCTGCCTGCACTTTGTCCATTTCTTCTTCCATCTCTTCTCGCTGTTCTTCATGCTGCGTGAAGATGTGTGCATCCAGCCGCTCTGTAGCTTGGGTCTGCTGGTCACATTTCTCAATCACCACATGCGTGTACTGCGTGTTCTCCCTGATCGCTGTGGCCTCAGACTTGACCACTTTTCCAATCAAGCCATAGCAAAAAGATCCGAAGCCAGCGCAAAGTGCTCAAGGCCCCAATCACTGCACACGCAACGAGCATCATCCAGCCGAAATCTGTGCTTCCTTTCTCAACTTCCTCAGTCGAACTTCCTGCCACTGAGCTCACGCTTGCCATCAGCAGCAATAGGCCAATTCGAAGGTCCTCCGAGTTCATCATCTTCTTGGCGCCTCTCTTGATCTGGTACTGGTACTCCAGATCCAGATCTTTGTACTCTTCATAGCCAACTCTGTCACCAATCACGTCGATCATCTTGATCATGTAGAGCAAGCCGAGCAGTCTCTTCCGTGTCAGGTTCTTTGCTATGTCTGCGCAATTCAGCTCTGAAGGGATTGCTGCCACGCTGAAGGCCCGTTCACTCTCCTTCTGCTGGACCCACAGCAGAGAAGCATCTAGATGCACGCGTCCAATTCCTTGGCGTTGGACCATCGACCTTGCAGCTGAACTGTCTGTTCTCACTTTCACAGCGCAGCTGCCACCTGTCATTTTGTTCAGCAGGTGCTTCATCAACATGCCATCTGAGCAACCGGCTACCACTGCACTTTCACCTGATGACAAAGCTTTTGATTTCTGTGTCCTCACCCTGCTCTCACTGAGGCCGCCGTCGATGTAGATCTGGAATGAGGTAGCGCTTTTGCGATCGTCTCTGTTGCCTGCATAGTCAGCGTCTGTCAAAATTTCAACCAGGTGTGGGGCAACTGTTGATCTCGACATCTTCTCTGGTGTCCATCACTGACCTCCCTTTCTCTCTTCTCGACATCCTCACACCACAGTCAATGGTGCCTTCCAGGTATGAGCACAGGTGCCACGCATTGCGCATGGCTTGCTTTGTTGGTGATGACATCTTCCTGGCAAGGTTCTGAATGACGAACTGTGCATCTGGTCTTTCGCTAGCCATGTACATCAAGCGTCCCACAATGCTTCTGAACTTCGTGATCTCTTCTGCCTCAAGTGGCGGTGAATTGTCTTTCTTCGAAGCATTTTGATCCATTGGTGTCTTCCTGTAGGATTTGCTGAACAAATCAAGCTCCTTCTCCAGTCCGTAGTACTGCTTTCGATCACACTCGACGTCGCAATGATCTTCAGTAATCTTGAACTGCCTTTTAACTTCTCACCTGCAGCAAACGGCCCCTTGGCTTCTACCGACTTCTACCTTCCATTTCTTCTTGTCCTTCAAAAACATCACGAACTCTTGGAGGATCTGGGGCGTCCCAACCATGAAGACATCGTCTACGTGCACTGTGAGGTACATATTGTCCTGCCTCATGAACAATGATGGCTGCATCATATCCTGATCGAGGTTGAACTCCTTGCAAGCTCCTGAGAGAACTTCTGGAACCACTGCGACGCAGCTGTTCGTTGGCCAGGTAAGCATCTCAACAATCGGAACGCCTTCTCATCGATCTTGACAGGCTCTCTCCTCACATGGCTGGTTTGCCATCAAGAAGGCATCATTGATCACATACCCATGGAATAGACCATTCTTGTTGAGATCACATACCCAGCATTTGCATTCACCTCCTCGATGTTGGATTCTTCCATTGCCGGTATGCTCAACATCCTCTCGGTCTCCTTCTGACTTGCTTCTTTGTCCAAAGCATCTAGCTCCTCTTGTGAGACTTCCGGCGGGTCTCCATCCTCTTCTCCACCGTAGCTGTATTGCAGCTCTTCGTTCGTCTCCTCAGGAACGTACTCCACGTTGACTTCTTCATCTCCATGAACTTCAATGCTCTGGATGCCTGCGTAATGAGGAGGATATAATCTTGCCATCTTTCCCCCTGGTGAACCTTCTGCTTCATGGTCTGCTGGCCTCACCTTGCTTTCTGAGCCTTTCTCTTCCGGCATCTTTTCATCTTCAACTGTGATCACCTCATCTGTTTCCTCACTCCTCATCTTCTTCTCTGCCTCTTCGATCTCGATCTCAGCGTCTCTCTTTCCTGTGCTCTTCTTGGGTGATTCTGTAGTGTCCTGCCTCTTGGCCTCTCTTTCGTCCTCTTCATTGCTCAAATGTCTCTTTGCAGGTGGAACTGGTAGCGCTGGTGTTGCAGGCGCTGCATCACCAATGCCCTGACCACCACCTTGAAGTCCGGGCGCTGGTGTCACCAAGCCTGCAGCCACTGTTTGGGCAATGTTTTCTAGTTCGTCTGGTTGGACTTCTGCCTCGAGTGTGGGCTGTCAATACTTCTGAGCCTGGCCTCCATGCTTCATTAGAGTTCCTTGTGGCGAGTATGCCCATGGCAATCCTCTGCGTGATCATGGCTGGTCCATTGAAGGCTTGTTCAGGAGCAAGTCGTCGAATCGTTCTTGCTTCACACGCTCCTTCTGGTGTGAGAATGATGTGACAAGCATTGAACGCGTGTTTTCCACACCAAATGCCCTGTTCGAACACATTCGAGCCTTTGTGACAAATCATCCTCTTGTACATAACCACCTCTCCGAACAGGACCAGTTTTCCTCGGTACTCTGTCGCTAACTCGTAGCTTGTTCCCCCAGTGCCTTCCAATACTCGATACCTGTTGATGAGGAAGGATGCGCGCTTGAAGGACCAAGGATACAGGCGGTTGTCTCCTAGGATAGAAAGTCTTGCGCGCTCCTCTGCAAAAGTCCTCTGTAACCTCCTCACTGGTTTGAACTGCCCTTTCAACCAACCCGTTTGAGGCGCGCTGTCCTGCTCCAGTCAGTCTGATCTCTGTTTGTAAGCCCAATACCTTTCGAACTTGCTGGACCGATCTCAGGATCTGTCTTGTTGCTCTCTCTGAATCTGCTTGGAAGATGCAGTTCTCCCTTCCAGCGTTCTCCAGAGCAAATCTAACCACCTCCTCAGTGATCTGCTTCAAGCTTGCAGTTCCTTTGCTCGGGACTGGTACCACATGGATGGCTTTGGTTTCTGTCGAAGCCATGATGAGGCATGTACCATAATATTGATATTGCCTCTCTTGAACTCGTCCTGAACTGGGTTCTTCCATGCGGCCTTCTGGACCAGTCCAGGTGTACATGAAGTCCAGTTGAATGACTGGCTTTCCTTCCTGAGGCACGCGCTAGTCTTCCTTTGCCCTGGCAGCCATGCATGCTTGACACCATGAAGCATATGGCCAATGTGTCACGAAATGAAGCTCTTGCTCTGCAAGGGAGGGTAGTTTCGGGTGTCCCAGCGTCAAAGGCGTCCTTTGTTGTTCCTTGAACAGCTTGTTTGCAATGCTCATTTGGAACTTGTTCTCGATGTCCACTTTGAAGGCAATCAGCCTTGACAACAGCCTCTTCTTACTGCCCGTATAGGCCAACCCTCTCTCCTTGCGCGCAAGTTGGAGTTCCTTCACAGTGTTCTTTTCATTGTATGTCACTTCATCCAACTCCTGGTACTCTATCTGTTCTTCAAGCTCTTCCTCTCTCTCCTGTTCTTTTTCATCTGACCATTCAATGTGTCTGATCTCCCCTGTTGGCTCTGGATATGGATGTACCGGGACTTGCTCAATAGTCCAACAGGCGGTAGGGGGAGAAGAAGGTCAGCATTCTTTCTGGATTCTTGTCAGCGCTCACCTTCCTGAATGCCTTGTCTCCCAAATCCTTGTAGTTCTCGACGTCCTCAACCTGTCGCCAGAACCCATCTTTGTCTTTGCTCAAGGTCATCCTGGCCGCCTTCCAGTCGCCTTCAAGGTCAGTCATGTAGACAGCAACTGGGTCACTATGTGCCACTCACTACCCCATTCGGCAGCCGATGCCATCCTGGTACGTACTCTAGTTCCTCCACATGAGATAGCCTCTCAGAACCATCACTCGATTCTCTCTTGCCTCCTCATGAGTTGTTCCACTCCATAGATCGATCTGGATGGCAATGTCTCTGTCACCATGACATAGTTGCAGGCCATTGTCCTTTGATTGAACGCTCCATCCTTTTCGAAGCAACCTGCCTGCACACATGACGGGGCGCTGCACGTTCCCCAAAATGAATTCCTCAATGATCTCAATCTCCTTGCCATTGACGTCCTTCACTCTCACCTTCGCTCTCGTCAATCCTTGATGTTCAATCTTGGGCGTCGACCATTTTCAGATCTTTCGGTCCAGGCCTCCATTCTCCCACGCTTCCAAAGCTAACAGGCAGTACTGAAAAATCAGCACCGCTGTCAAGTGTCACCAGACACTCTTCCTCGTCCATTTCTCTCACGCTGACCATCTGGACCATGTAGAAGGCGGTCTCTTCACGCCAGACTCTGATTGCTCAAGTCATCGGCCAGCCTCACCTGAATCCTCCAAGGATGTCTCTCCACGTCTGCGGCTGTTCGCGGTGTAGTCAAATCGAAAACCTCAGTGTAGGGTGCATCCGGTGGAGTTGCAATACGAACGATCTTCACAGATGATGTCTGCGTTGTACTGCCACTTGGCTGTCCCGTGGATGAACTTGGTGCTCCACCTGGATTGGGATCCTCAACATGCTGCGCCCTCTTCCAGCAGTCTTTGGCGTAATGCCCCTGCTTCCCACACACGTGACAAGCACCACCCTTGCTGCCTTTTCCTCCTTGTCACTCTTTCCCTTCTCAATTTTCTTCCATGGCCTCTTCTCCCATGTACTCTTGCCATTCTCCTGGCTCTGTCCTTTCCAACTTCCTTTGCCTTCATACCCGCCCCCGCCCCCCGCCCTTGCCTTTGGCTTTTCCTTTCACGTCCTTTCCTTTCTTGCCTCCTTTCTTCCCTTTCTCTTTGCCAACGTAGTCAACCTCCATTGGCACTGCATCATCTCCACTTGCTCTCGTTGGGAGCGCTAGACTGTTCGAAGCCTCCCATCTCGTCGCGAGCGCCTCGAGATGATGGATCTTGTTCTTCGGGGATTCATAGGCGGTTTTGTCGTCCACCCACAACTGCAAACGCTGCTTCATGTATGTTGGGCAAGCTTGTAATATGGACGCGACTTTTGCATCTTCACTGAATTCCTTCTGTGAAATCCTCTCGTACTCAGCCACTATAGCTTCGTACTGTGGAAGTTGTTCGCTCAACGTCTTTCCTTCTGCAAACTGAACTCTTGATTGAGAGCTGCGTCAAAAGAGCTAGGCTTCTGGCCCGTGTTGCAGGTTGCATCTCCTTCAACAATGTCTGCCACGCCACAAACCCATTCTCCTGTTTCATGTGGCGCACCAACTTCAATGGCCTTTGCCTCATATAGGAAGTCAAAAGGCTATACAAGCGAATAGCCATGCCCTGCGTCTCTTCCGTCATGTCATCGAGGGCGTAGTCCGCGTTGAGCTCTCCTTCAACAACCTCCATAGCTGCTGCAAGCCCAGGATCAATTCCCCTGACGTAGTTGCAAAACGAAAACTTCCAGTCACTCCAGCCTCGAAGTTCGTGATCTGGGGCTTCAGGCTTGAAAACATCTGGGGCTTTCAAGGGTCTCGACCATGCCTGGGTGGTTTGTGTCACTGTCAACTTCTCCAAGGCGGTTGAGATGAGCTTCAAACTCTCTTCAGCCGTTGCCTCGATCTTTGAGGGCTTTGGATAGAGCTTCTCGTGCTCCAATCAGCTCCTCCTTCACTGTCTTGTTCTTCGAAGCTTTGCCCGCTACAAGCTCCCAGAACTTCCAATGTGCCACAAATGCACACAATGCGTCTCCCTGGATCTCCTCTCTCTTGTCCTCGAGCCGCTCCAAAAAGGACCAACTGCTAGGAACCACCACGACCACTTCCCTAATAGGCTTCCTCTTCTTCTTCTTTCTCCCTTTCTCCTGAACTAAAAGGGATGCTTTTGTCGCTCGTCCTGACTTCACCCACTTGACCTTGCCAATGTGGGCGTCCCCCTCCAAGACCACAAAGTGGAAGCACCTCTTCTTCACCTTCCACGACTTGGAAACCACTCGGCCGGGGCTGTGGTAGCTGATCTCTTGGATCGAAGGTGAACTAATCCCACCGCCAAACGCGCGAGGATCAGGAGCTCGCAAATCCAAATCCCTCTGGCCCTGGAGCCTCCTCCAACCAAGGACGAACGTGGCCACGTAGTGGCGGTCGTAGAGCCTAGCGGGCCCCGGCTCTTACAACCGCGGCTCCGGTACCATGCAAAGCGGCGCACGAAACCTTTTCAGGTACGATCGCTTGGGCCTAAACACCCAGTGTATGTGCATGAACATCTGTACTATGCCATGACGAGTGACCACTAGAACAAATCGAACATAAACCATTAAATTGAGCTCTAAGTTGAACCCCCCACCCACACCACCCCAGAGAGAACTAAAATGAACTGCCAGGGATGCCACCCAACATTTGGGGTCCAGTTTCTGACCTCCACCCATTTGTGCCAGTGCTGCTTGAAGGCTTTGCACATGATTCAGGGACCCGCTCCACATTCTCTCTTCGACTCAGCAGCAGTTGCCGCTGGGGATTTGTTCCTGGACGCGAATATGAAGCGTTGCTTTTGAAGATGCTCATCACTGAAAACTCCCCTTCGAGATACTGTGCTCCCGGGAGTGTCACATTGAGGGCGGCATCTTGATCTGAGCAATTGTTCAAACGCAACAGCACCTCAGAATGCAAAGCTGACGGCTTGCCGTCACTCACCATGAGATTGCAGGCGCCATTCTTGTATTGAACTGCTGCGCAATCATCTCGCAGACGACAGCTTTGCAGGCACAGACTTTGCTGGGCCTTTGGCGCTGTGTTCCATCGAAAGGTCCCAGAAATGTTGCTGAGCGCCCAGCCTTGGAAACACATTGCCCAATTTGGCGCACAAGACCCAAGTGCCTCACTTCAACCATTGCGGCCAAGAAGCAAACATCGTCCAGCACTCTGATGCTCAAGACAGATACTGGCAGTGCCCGGTCATACTGAGGGCCTGCGGGAAATGAAAGTCTTTGAGTCATTGAGTTTGTAACGCCCAACATGTGTAGAGTACCTCCAGAGGCTTTGAGGGGCACTTGTATACAGTAACTGCCTGAACAATCACAGTAACTGCAGACGAGTCTGGCGTCAAAGCTTTTGGCGTCTGGGCAGGTCTTTGCGGCAGAGATTCTCGAGATTCGCTGTAAATCGCAAGAGAATCCTTTGTTACGTTCGTAGCGTTCTTGTTACTAGTAAGGCCAGGGGCCCCGTTCGTAGCGATGCCCTTTCTTACTAGTATCAATAGAAACACACAATTGAAATTGTTGTTTTGCAGTAAGTTCTCAGCAAATCCAAGCGAAGAATAGCACAAAGCGGACTGGAGCACAGAGACACTTTGGCGCCCCAAAACCCTGGACTCAATAAGGGCACTCTGTGCATCTGGGCAATAATGTTGGTAGCTGCATGTTTGGCTCACAATCACAAGCAAGTCATTTGTACAGGTCTTAGTTGCACGGGACACCAAGCATGAGTCTGAAACAACGTCTGGCGCTCATTGCGCAGTTTCCGCAAACACTCACTCTGCAGGATGTTTCCATAAATGTTTTGGAACAGCTTGGGCACTGCTTAATATTGTGGCCTTGTGTTGCTGAACTTTGATGCACAAAATCTGCAATGGAGAATTCACCATCAACATCGCAGATTCAAACAAAGCAAACAATTCTTGTCCTGCCTTCCAGACAATTTTGCCACGGAAGCTGGGCCAGTCTACAAGCTCTAGTGGTCTTCACTGGTCTGTGTTTGCATTGTTCGCCTTTTGCAGTATTCACAAGGGTGCGAGCTTGTACTACCAGAACTATCCAGAACTGACAACAAGCGACAATCAGCAACAGGCCATTTGCAGGCAAGACGGGGATGAGGACAGGACGCCGAACCTGTGGAGGAAATCAATATTGCTGTGGGGTTCCCTTGCATTTTTCTTTAGTCAAATTCATGCACTACGCATGCGCGCCAAACGGTGGGAGGGGACCGCATCGAAGTGCGGCCCTTGTAGCTGTGCGCATGTCCAACGCATTCCGCATGCGTGGGCCGTACAGTGTGCATTGGAAAAAAGAAACCCAAAGACGAACCCTTGGTTCAAAACAGACTAAATTTGCGGGTTCCGGACAAAAGCGACTAAAATTCATGGGTAGTTCCACCCTTCAAATTGAAAATAGAGAGCTTGAAGTGAACTTGAAACAAACCTTCAGCAAAAAATGAACACACTGTTTGTGTTGAGTGCAGTTGCAAGCTTACATATACTGACCAGTGATTCGGCACCAGTATAGGCTGAAATAGCTGAACAATTCCAACTAGTAGAGTTTGGTTTCCGTGACAAGGTCTTTGAAGAGACTAATCAGAACCCAAATGCTGCTTCCAGAATCATCAGCACAAACTGATAACGTCTTGGTGTCACTTTTAGAGACAGCATGCGTATTTTTGCTTTTGGAGGCGTATCCATTTGAGAGCTACCACCGATTCTGATACGAAACAAAAATATAATAAACACATGTGAGAGCATACACACATGAAGGCATACACATATGAGGCAAACAAATGAGCGAACACAGCACACAAACGAGAGCACTCATATGACATTGAACGCACACATGAGAGCACCCATACGAGAGCATACAGGTGAGAGCACCCAAAGCAATTGCATCGGATACACGTGTTTTCACACACTTAGTCACAGGGCTTGCAGTTATCATATTCCACAGAGAAATGGATGCTGGAACGGAAGGTGGCTGAGCCCGCGGAAACAGAATGTTTGAACAGTGGCGGTTTCACTTGACTGCGAAAACGCTCAGTGGTGTCGCGGCTGCAAATCAGCGGTAGAGAAAAGGAAAGTTTAGGGGTCTATCATGAAAGGACATGGAAACCAAAACACAGCGGCAGGGCGGACCAGTGGCGTCATTGTGTTGAAAGCAGGTACGTCAGTTCCGCGTCCGGAACTGATATCCTCACCATGTACTGCCAGCTTCGTTGATGGAGAAGCAATACAGGTGTCTCCATCCCGCGCGATGCTTTGTGGGTAAAAGGAATCCCTAGCTCAAGTGGTAGGTCCTTTTTGTGCTTCAAAAAGCGTCGACACTCTGCGGTGGAATGCCCTTTGGCACTGTACGGGTTGATGTGGCATGAGACATGTGACATGCTGCATGAAGAAATGAAGAAAAGGAAAGCGAAAATTGAAATGCAGCATGGACTAGAAAGATGTCCGTTAGCCCGGCGGCGTCCAGCCCGTGAGCCCCGCGGCGGGAATCCGTTGATTCATGGGTGAGACAAAAAATCAATCCAGAATCCACGATGGCTGCACTTCGAGTCAGAAAAATGTGATTCACGATCGACTTCAGCGTCTCTCTTGCGAGAGGATCACTTTGTGGGTAAAAAGAATCCCTGGCTCAAGTCGTAGGTCTGTTTGCGCTTCAAAAATCGTCGACACTCTGCGGTGGAATGCCCTTTGGCAATGTACAGGTTGATGTGGCATGAGCCATGTGACGCGCTGCATGAAGAAATGAAGAAAAGGAAAGCGAAAATTGAAACGCAGCATAGACTAGAAAGATGTCCGTTAGCCCGGCGGCGTCCAGCCCGTGAGCCCCGCGGCGGGAATCCGTGGATTCATGGGTGAGACAAAAAATCAATCCAGAATGCACACTGGCTGCACTTCGAGTCAGAAAAAGGTGATTCGCGATCGACTTCAGCACCTCTCTTGCGGATCACACTGTGTACCCAGTGGGAAGACACAGCGATACACACTTAGTCACAGGGTTTGCAGTTATCGTAATCCACAGAGGAATGGATGGTGGAAAGGAAAGGTGGCTGAGTCCGCGGAAACAGAATGTTTGAACAGTGGCGGTTTCACTTGACTGCGAAAGCGCTCAGTGGTGTCGCGGCTGCAAATCCGCGGTAGAGAAAAGGAAAGTTTAGGGGCCTATCATGAAAGGACATGGAAACCAAAACACAGCGGCAGGGCGGACCAGTGGCGTCATTGTGTTGAAAGCAGGTACGTCAGTTCCGCGTCCGGAACTGATATCCTCACCATGTATTGCCAGCTTCGTTGATGGAGAAGCAATACAGGTGTCTCCATCCCGCGCGATGCTTTGTGGGTTTAAGGAAAGGAACGGGCTCCTAGAGACGGAGCGTGAAACACACTTATAGAAATGCGTACTGACTTGAAAGCGGCTGCCACACGCCAACCTGGGTTCCCAAATCCTGAACAGTTCAGGCAAAACCCAAACAAGCATAAGGAGCCTGGTCCTCAAACGGAAATAGGGCCAAAAGCGCAAGAAACGAAAGCGACGATCACGGTGACGGCGGTCGTGCGCATCTGCAGCGTTTTTCAAGCAGGTACGTGGATTCTGCGTCCAGAATCCATATCAGTGCCTCGTAACAGCCTCTTCGTTGGACTGCCACTGTTACAAGTCAGGCAGTCCCCAAAACTCAAGAAACAAGAACAATCCGACAGGATCCCTGTGATTCCAAGGGGCACACACACAAACACACACACGCCTCCCCGAGCAGAGGCGCTCCTTTTCAATTAAGCTCCGGACGAGGGTGAGGTTGGGTGAAAGAAGAGCCTACGAGAAGCGGTGAGAGAGAGAGAGAGAGAGGGAGAGAAGGTCCCGACAGGTTCCAACGAACCTAAAAATGGCTTTGCAACTTTTTTTGTGAAGGTCGACAAAAAATGGCCGAGCGGCAAACACGAACCCTCGCCCCCTTAGTTGCAAGCAACGTGTTTGGCGGAGAAACGTTCACAGTCCCAGTTCCCACCAACTCAAGGGACCAACTCAACGCGCCACGCGCAGCTCTTTAAGCCTTTGCCTCCAAGAGCTACTTGGCAGTTGATCGTCAGCTCAGCTCGACCCTGGGTCGCAGACAAGCTGAGGCCAGGAGTGCCAGAGACTGTGCCAGTTTGTGGGTCCAGGTTGAAAGCCACGTCCCCTTCCAGCGTGACATCACCAGAAATGCGAGACCATTTGAGTTGTTTCCCTTCGTCTCCAACGACTTTGCAGTCCACATCCAAAATGTTTGGGGGATGGACTTGGACACGATGAACTTCTCTCCTGTGGTGATGTTTTCGACGATGGGCACCTCAAAGACATGTCCTGAACGGTTGTACCACTGAAAGCCTGGTCCTTGGTCACCAATCTTCACTTCTATATACACACTTAGATGGAGAACTCAACGGATTCAGAATAATTTCATGTATTGGCTCACCGACGCAGTAGCACTTTAGGTGAATACTTAGCACTTGCTTTGAGACAGCGGGAAGAATGCTGGGTCGGCCAAACAGAATGTTTCAACAATGACGCATTAGCAGTTTACCCGAAGAGAAGAGTCACAGCTTTGTCAACACTTAGAACCGCAGGAACTAAAGTGGTTGCAAGTATGTCGGAGTGATCAGCTCCGATATCCTCCCAACTCATGAGCAGCTGCGTTGGCAGTAGACTCATGAGTGGGCTACTGCCCCCTGCTTCTTTGATGAAAAGGTGACCCTTCGAGACAGGGTGTGACACACACAAACGGCCGTAGCACTCTGAAAAAGCCGCCGCCACAACCTAACAAGCCTTTAGCAACGAAAGGAAAACCTAGAAAGCCTCTAGGGGAGCGACAGACCTAGCAACAGAAACAAAAGACAGGAGAGAAAGAAACGAAAACTTAGGGGTTGCGTGTGGGGTGGGGGTGGACTAAACGAGCCTGAAGAATAACCTAACAATCCTGAAGAAAAGGAAGGAAACCCAGGAGAGAGGGGGCGCAGGGGTGTGTGTGGGGGTGTGTATGTGGCAGACACCTGGCCATAAAGCCTCATCCGGCGCACTCTTGACTGAAAAAGCCTCAGTTACACTTTTAAACCGCCTCTAGCAACGAACGAAAACCTAGAAAGAGAAAACGCGCAAAGGAGAGAAAGCGGCATTAAAAGGAAACCGATGCATGAATTGCTCAGAAGCGTGCATGAAATACTCAAGTGAATAAAACTTCCCCATCAGAAAATGGCCCACGACGCAAACGCAGGAGTCGGAAAGGTTCACCTTTGCCAAAGGGATCACACGGCACACCACAGTTGGACGATGCCGCTGGACACACTTGATAGAGAGCTCAACGAATTCAGCATAATTTCAGGTATTGGCTCACCGATGCAGCGCTACTCCGCTTCAGGCTCACTCCGCGTTGGCACAAAGCCAGACACACTCGGGACACGATGCGAACGAACTGAAAGCCCCACGCCACTCACAAACATAGGTGAACTCATTGCCTAAGTAAAACATGTAAAGGGGCCTGACCATCCTGGAGGGTCAAGTTTCTGAAGCATCAAATTGCAAAAACCCGAGCCCAACAAAGGTCCAGTCGAACTAGAAACGGTGAAAGTGCATAACACCCAGTGTCCCAGGATCATATCAGCCATGGAATGCTGCCCTCTTCCTTCGACAACCAACTGCATCCATGGGGTTGTCCCCTCCAAATACCAAAAGTCAACCTATGATTCCAAGGTGTACACGCACAAACAGTGGGCCAAGCGAGGAGAGCGAGGCGGACCAAGAGCAAACCCAAATCTGACGCTATACATCAGTGAGCCTGCTGTTGGTCTTTGGAATCGTGCAGAACTCCTCGATGATGCGACCCATGAAGTTATCTATCTTGGCCACGTGCGCCGAAGTAAGGCCAAATGCCAAGCCAGCGTGCGCGCAAGAGAGGGGAAGGGATGAAATGACAAGACCTGAAGACAGGAAAGGCATGAAAAGAAAACCAGGAATGGAATGCAGTGCGCGTGGCTTCTGCCACACGCAATTGAGAGCGAGGCCACCATGTGAACTTGCTGAGCACCGTCTATGCAGTCGGGGTCGGAGGTATTTTGCTCCAACACGGCTTCCCCAGACGGTGGGTGAGTTTCGCCCTCAGCAGCTTTCTCATCCTGTGAGGGAACCCTGCTTCACCAACAGGTGCGCCAACGTAACATTATCTTTGGTGGTTCAAGAATGCACCAGATTCCTCCCTTGTTGTCCGTTTTAGGCTAGTTGACAACTCACCGACGGTCGAGCACCCAAGCATACTGGATATGGAAGGAGTGAAGTGGAGCTTTCTAGTGTTCAGGCAGCCGAGGGCCTCCTCAGAATACGGTCTGGTTGGGCCAAGGTACTAACGACACCGTCGATGAACAAGTAAAGGGTTCAAATACATGCGTGACATGTCCGCATGCTGGGACTTTGGCTTAGCCCAGTCGCCATAATAGCAAAATAAAATGCAGGTACGTCTAGAATTAGAAGGCGTCCCTTCTAGATTCTAGATATCACGACTGTACCACCACTGTCTTCGTTGAGCAGTGAGTAATGGTGGTAGCGTTCATGCTAACAGAACAAGAGCCGCATTGTCTCTAGCGCATCACAGAGGTACTAAATCCTCATCGGCCATGTTACTACTTCGTTTGTGTAAAAACCTGCATGAAACACGGGTCCACGATCAGCAAAGGCAAAAGAGAGAGACAACTAAGGCTCGGTCCCAAGTCTTCCAAAAGAGGCACCTCCGAGATCTCCTCAGAGACGCGGCCTGTGATGCTCGGAACCTCCCACACACCTCCCTTCCAAAGGCGTGCTTGCGACACCGAGAACTCATGCGTCACTGCTTTGGCTCCACCCTTGGTTGGCCAATTTCCCAGCACTTGGCAATTGCAAGAAGGCATTCCTGCTAATGTCGTCACCTGCTCCCTCAGATCTTCTGGCAAGCCTGTCTTAGGTCCTTTCTCCGGATTCCATTTCAGCGCGCCGGAAGAAGTCATCGAGAGCCACGGACAGGCTGTGTCACACTGCAGTTGAAAAGACCTCGGCCTATCCACGTTCCTCGACTGAAGTGGGACAGTTGCATCCGATGGGTTGCCATCTAAGCCCCAAAATTTGAAGTACACCACCTGTTCTCCATAGGAGAACGCGGAGAGCGGTATGGAGAAATCTGTCTGAGTGACAATCCCACGTACAGGATCTTGCACCGACACCATGGAACATTTGATCTCCGTCACATTCTTCTTCGAGGCCACACCTGAGACCCTCCCATTGCTTGCCAGGGTCAAGCCGGAGGACCCAAAGGTGCACCCTGGCGCAACCTCCACGACTTCAGCTGTGATGGGCTCTGGCGTGGCATCCACGTATTGGCCGGCATACAGGGACTTGCTTTGCAAAGGCATGTAGACAGGTGTCGGATAGACGCTTCCTCCTCCGCATGCACAGCATGCCTCACTTGGCCTGAGTCCCTGGAATTGAACATCGTCAGCTGTTTTGGGCCATGCCCCGGAACAAATGCCATCTTGTTGCAGGTCAGCACAGGTTCTGCCTTGCATATCATGCCAGTTGGGAACATCGTCACACATGAAGCACTTGGATATGTTGACAACTGGTACGGTCTGCAGGACATATCCAGCAGCACATTGCCTACAAGCTCCGTCCCTAACAACGCGACAGCCCCCGCATTGCTCACCGGCATTGCAGCAAGTATATTTGTAGCTGCCATTCACAAAGTCTCCGATCAAGACCTGTCCGCCTGAACATGTCGGTTTCTTCGTCAGGCCGTTGAGCTGATGTCTCACTTGCAATTGAAGATTTTTTGACACGGTCGTGAGCTTGGGGCATTGCCTGAATTCAAAGCCAGGTTTCGACCACAAATCTTTTGGCTGGACATCCTCACGCTCCAAATTTCGAACTTCTCTGTCAAAACCGATTGGTCCACGAGAAGCCTTCTGCAAGCTGCAAACAGCGTCATCTGCAAGTGCTGAGCACAAGGTCGTTAGGACCAAAAGCATGGGTGCTGTGAGGTGTGAAGGCTGCACTGTGTGACAAACCACTGGGTTGGTTGTCTTGGGGCAGAAAATCAAAGAACCAAAGACGAAAGCCTGACACATGCTGAAACACCCGCATATTATATGTGTATGTATATATATATATATGCTTTATGTTTGCTACGGCCACCTCTTGATCTATTCCGCGCATTTTGCCGGGGTCAAATGCCATCTGACGAAAAAGGCAAATGTCCTCTCCCGATCAAGTCCTCCTAAGGAGGAGAACGGGGTGATGGAGGGTCTTTCAAAAGCCACGGTGGCACTCGCAACTCACGCACGCTATCCCTTGGGGAGAACACATGCTTTATGTTGCTATGCCCACCTCTTGGCCTATTCCGCGCATTTTGCCGGGGTCAAGTGCCATCTGACGAAAAAGGCAAATACCCTCTCCCGATCAAAACCTCCTAGCCCCACCTCCACGCGTCCCAGCTCGGCAGCAAACCTCTGGTTTGCTGCGCGCACTCTTTGGGAAACAGCGGGCGGTAGGACCAAAGCCGTGTATTCCTGGAGGGCTTGATCAAGGTAGATTCGGGCAGTGGAAACATGTTTCCAGCGGCCTTTGGCCAAAAGCTGGTCAAATTTCATGCCCTGGGCATAAGCCGAAGTTGCTCCTCCCCTCCTTAAGCTGTACGGAAGGTAGTAGGTGGATTACCACCTCTTTCCACAAGGCCTTGAAGGCTGCTGGGGAAAAATCAACTAACTTTTCATCAGACTTACGTCGCTGACATAATGCTCTCAGGCAGGCAATCCCACTCTGTTCACTAATCATCACCTTTTCGCTGGTCAGGATATTTGGTTGCGCTGTTTTCGTATCCCGCAAGAAAATGATGGCCGACTGGCCTTGGTGTTTTGGCAAGACGACGTCCCTTCAATGGAGCTGAAACATCTCCCCAGGCCACAAAAGGCCATCATCGTCAGTTGAGCCAGCCGAGGCCATTGCCATGTCCATAGGATTCCAGCAAAGGCCAAAAACTGACTCTGGGCTTAGCGGGGTAGCCCGTATTGGTTGCTCCAAGCTGCCACACCCCTTTCAAAGCCCCTTTGAGTTCTGGCTTTCTGTAGTGTACAGCGGCCAGCGCGTAGTTTGCCATACTCTTGGGATCTCCTTCTTCCCAAAGAACTTCAATGTACTGGCAGAGAACTGACTCTAGGTCATTTCGACGCAGCACCTCTGCGACTTGGCTTCCCACAAACAAACCGATATCACGCAGTGCCACAGTGTAGCGCTCAGCAGTCGCCAGTGAAACACGCTGCTCTGACAGCCTTCCCACTTTCTTTCTCTCAGCCTTGCGTTCTTCCTTTGTCTCCTTTCTCTTAGTTTCCCTTCTTGGCATCTTTCTCAAAGCGCCTGCTCGGACCATCCGCCGGGTTCAACCGGGATGCAATTAAAGCCCACAACGCAAACAGATTCAACGTGACACACAAGGCTGAGATTTTTCGCAAAATGCGATTGATCTTCCTCGAGCTGCTGCGACCTTTTGTCAAAACAGCCAAGCAGGTCTGGGAACCCGATAAATGGAGGAACCTGCACAAATGCAAGGACGCTGAACGGGCTCGCCACTCCAGGCTTCTCAAGATTGCCCTCAGCTCTAGCAGATTAATGTGCTCATTGCGTCGCCACTTGTAGGCCTGGGCCGTCTTCCATACCCACCAGCTTGGATCTCAGGACGGTAGGCTTCCCAACCTGACATCGCTCCCACGGAATTGCATCCGACGTAGGTACTGGTGAATCAGCCTTACATTCAGCAAACGAGCCCCTCCATCTTTTCCGAAGCTATGGCTAGCCAACCTGAGCCATTCTTCCTTCTTTTGATTTTTCACCAACTCTAATATAGCTTCCTCCTCCTCCTCTTTGTCTCTTTCACTCATACTGCAATGGGTCGTGGCATCACCCTTTTCTCCTATATCATCAAAGCTTCGTTGACACATCTCCTCGTGCCACTTCTCCACGATCGCCTTCGCTCCTTTTGGATCAGTCCGTGCTCGCTTGCTTCTTCCAAAGCCAGAGATCCAGCAGACAAGCCACAACTACCGTATGGAAGCTATTCCCAATAGCTGCCTCTCGTGCCACCGTCTGCTTCTCTCGCTCTGCCTCCGTCTCCGCCTCCTTCCTGAAGAGCGCCAAGGTATACCCCGTAGGGTAGCCCATCAATTGCTCCTGTTCCGTCACCGATGCCACTCGTTTGACATCATCTCCCTTGGCATTGTGGAACAAGAACTCTGGCCGATAGGTGTATGGTGGATACTTCATTTGATCCTCCTTCCATCTTTCAATGGTGGCGGGCTCTCTTGGCGGATTCTTCCTGGGAATCGCCCTTGTGAAGGTAGGAATTCGGATGTTTCGGTTCACCTCGGCCGCTGGCCATATCCAGCCTTCATCGCATACCAAATTCAGCGGCTCCAACACTTCATTGAACTCCAGCACATCATAGAGCTCATGGCGGTTGAGTTGATAGCTCGCATGATCATCCATGCTCACATTACTCCAATACAACCTGGGTCGCCTCACCCACGACATGCAACTTGCGCAGACATAAAGAGGTCGACACCCCAATTGCTGGCTCATCTCTTTTATGTCTTCACCATCCCCAACTACATTCTCCACCATCAGGACCGACCAAACCTTCATCTCTCTGGCGACATCCACAATCCATCTCAGGACCTCCACGTACTTGTAAACAACTTCGACCGAGGATCTTGGAGGTCTATTCGATCAGCGTTCAACTTTGAAATCGCCTGACATGGGGATCCGCCTCCAGCCACGACTTCTGTAAGGCCTGGCACACTCCTCGGCGCTTCTCAATGCCACCCTTTGTCGCCCGTGATGTCAGCCACCACGTCACATCCGGGCCACCTAGTTATTCAACCGCCTGCGCTCGGGGTCTTTTTCTATCACTCCCTGCAAAGAAGTCAAAGACCAACACACTCTGCGGCTCATCCAAGTTTATTCCTTCTCCACCTACCTCATCCTCTGCTTCCTCCAACAACTTCCCGGGGTTTCTCTTTGAAAGCCGCCATAGCTCGTCCTCCCCGGGGTAAAGGGCCGCCGAAAACCCTATGACGACTCCGAAGTTCTGCTCTCACCTGATCCACTCCTTCCTTCACTGGAACTCTTTCCCCTTTTCTTTTTACCTCTGCGGCGCCTCCTACTCCGGCTTCTACCTCTGCTCGCTTTTCTTCTGTCGTCCAACTTTTTCCTCTGCTGCTCACGACGCTCTGCGGCCTTCTTCTCCAACAGTGCCCCGACAGATCCTCGAGGTGTACGAGTCGACTCAGTCTTCCCCTCACCTTCCTTGATCTCCTCTTCTCCACTTTTCTTGGCTGCTTCCTTCGCCTTCTCCAGGGCACGATCCAAGCCCGTCGGATCACCAACCGCCTCAGGCTGTTCTTTTGCCTTTGGTGGTTCCGCAGGTTCTGGTACTCGGGGAGTCCACTCATCAATGAACCTCATAATTGCATCCATGGCCAGCTTCTTCGTGTACTCCATACCTGCCATCATCAAAACGTTCACCAATCTCCATCGACTGATGTGTGCCAACTCTCTACGATCACCACGATGCAGCTTCTCCTTGCATTTCTTTCGATCATCCCGACACAAGTGATAGAGGCCTTTACCATCGTTCAGATTGCGCTTTCCATACCAATCACAGTAACCATCACTCGCGGCCAGGTGATCTCCAACTAGATAACCACGTCCAGCATCACCCCAACCTTCAACTCTCAAACAAGCTTTTCCTTGGGCTCCACCATTCCAATCATAACACTCATACTCCATAACACCGCCTTTGCCCAAGGTAGCTTCCGCATATGCCCAGACATCATCATGGCTCTTGGCCTCAACCCACGTCAAATGATTTGGGAGGAGGCCACCCTGCAACATATCATTCCAATCCTCAAGTGAACCGCCTTTCTTGAAAAACCTCACTTTCTGATTTTCCATTTCCTCTCTTCTCAGAGACCCCTAGGCTCCTGCCTTTGGGGGGTAGGGGGCCCTCAGAACCCCTTCTGCGAAGATAGAGGAAGGAAGTTCCTTTCAACCTGAACTGGTGGCCTCCTTTCGTGCCGAACAAGATCACCCGTCTCTCTCGCTCCCACGGGGGAGCCTAGAGAGAACTAGGTGACCAGCTTGACCCACCTCCTCACTCCCTAACTCCACGGGGAGTCCTGGAACCGAGGGATGGATCTTCCCTTTTCCACTATTAAGCTACCTGACCTCCACCCACCACCCCCAGGAGGAGGCCTGGCGGGAGAGGTCAGGCAGCCCTGTCTTTCAAAAGCTACGGTGGGACTCGCAACTCATGCATGCTATCCCTTGGGGAGGAGAACACATAAGGAGTTCCGAGAAAATCGTTTCAGTCCGCAAAATATTAGAAAGGGGTGTGGCCCAAAAGCATCGCAGAAGTAACGGAAGAATATACTGTGTATATGTATATATATATGGTACCCCCCCATGTATATATACTAATTCTGTTCAACATGAATCTGAATAGCGAAGGTGGAACGTTTTGGAAAAGGAGGTGGAGGAGGCTGGCTGGAATTTGTAGAGGTTTGCTGCGCAGAGATGTAGACGTGCATATGGTGTATGATAAGTGGAGGTGCGCAATTGCACCATGTGGTGCGCTGATGCGTTGAATGATGCGTGATGTGATGTTTGATGATGTGTACATGATGCTTGTGTTGCGATGCAAGAGGATGTGATGATGTGATAATGTAGGGGATCATGACGGCTCCGCAACCGCAGGCAGGCGGAGCACCCTCAGATAGCTGTGAGCCGTGAGAGATGCTACGTGACAAACCAGGTTAATCCTCTAGGGAAAGAATGCCAGAATACTGCGATACCCCCTCGGAAGGTCCGTTACGACCTGTTTGAAAAGCCTGCCGAAGCGGGACAGACCCATTATGAAAATATACCAAAGAAAGAAGGCGCACAGGCAGGGTAAACATGTCATAGAGCAAGTGCAGAG